TCCTACAGCAAGAAGGAGGAAAGGGAACAGCAACTGCAACATGTACTTTATCCCCAGCAAAACATGCTGGTAGGCTCAAAAATTATAATCCTGTGCCAGATGAGAGTTTAGTAATTGGTGTATTAGTGTGGACCAGAAGAACCACAGAAAAACACAAGTGGCATAGAAGTCTCCCAGTTTCAGGGAAAATGGTAGTGTATTATCAAATGCTAATTACTGCCATTTTGCCTGCTACGTTGCAGGTGCAGATTTCTTTTTCTCCAAATAATCTTTTTCTGTTCCTGATGTGCTTTTCCCATCAAATCTGACCTGTTGCAAACTCCTGCAGAAAACCCTGTGAGTTTGCAGCTCACTTAAATCAATAGCCATATATATGTTGGACAAATTAAAAGATTTCCAAGGACTGCAGTCTTCCCTCATTTCCTTAAATTAGATGCAGGCAGTGCAAGGAGAGGAAAATTTGATTAGTTTTGGGTGTACAAATTACATTAAAGGAAATGAAGTCCCAGAGTAGAGAATTAGGTAACCTGCAAAGAATGAGTAACTATTGCATTTTTGAAGTGTGCTTCTCATTTTGCTGTGTTCATTTTAACATGGAGAAACACACATCTCAATCCTGCATGTGTGGGAAGAAAAGAGGATTTAGAGGTGTAAGACAGCTTTGGGAACATTTGTACCCTCAGTTACTCAAAACCTTTGGCTTGCTAGAGACTGTTTCTCCCTTGTGGTTCAGAGATCAGCTGTTCTCCTTTACACTCCATCTCTGTGTACTGGATTCATAGGAAGTAGCTGTGTTTTTGTTTTTGTTTTTTTTTTTTTTTCTTTCTTTAATTGTATTGCTTTGTTCCAGTGGGAATTTGGCTGCTGGCATGACACCTTTGGGTTCCAGTGGGAAAATGTGTGCCTGGGCCTTTGTGCAATGTGTACTTTGGATTTCCTGCACAGAGTTGTCACCTTATGTGATGGTCATCGGAATTCCTCTTCCCACAGGTGAAAGTGTCATTCCACACAACTCTGGAGTTACTCAGGTATCAGCATTTGCCAGAGACCCAGCTGCTTCCTGGATGCCAAGTGCTCCAGCTGGAGAGTGGAGAGAGAAAGCTGAAGTTTAATCAAAATCTGGTCATTGAGTACAGTAACTACACTACCCAGGTAAGGTCAGGACAGGGTCTCTGGGCCCTGGGAAAGGGCTGTTTCAGCAGCACCTCTGGCTTGGATTAGGATTTACTCAGCCTTGAATTACAGGCATCTCTGGAGTAAATGGGGTCATCCAGGTAAAGTAAATGGCTGTGGGGTTGCTCCCTGCTGAGACTGCAGGTGATTCCCAGGTGGGCTGTGCAGGCTGGGGTCACACCCTGGTGCTGGTACCCCAGGTCTGCATGGCAGCCCAGGTGACACTCCAAGGGCCACACACTCAGTCACAGCATGGCTCTGAGACAGGATCAGGCTGTCTCAGGGAACAAGCCATGCCTGAGTCACCAGGCAATGCCTCCTGCAGCAACCAAGGGCTTCTGGAAAGGCTCCTGAGTCTGTTGAGCTCCTGCAGTGTGGTCAAAGACCACGTGCACGTAAAGACTGATCCCTTCCAGTCAGAAATCCATAACCCCCTTCCCAGCCTGCAGCATCCCAGTACACTGCAGGCACTTCTATTTTGTTTTTGTATCAGGTATTTCTGAGGCATGACCTGTGTAAGACTGAGCACCATATCTAAGATACAGTCAAATGAATCATAATCTTGGGCAATCTGAACAAACTGAATGACTCACAGTGGGCTATATACAGTCCTCAGGGACCAGGAGATGCTGTAATGTCTGCAGCTCCACAGAAAACCCTAAAAACAAATGAGAAAGTTTACTCTGTGTTACTTCATTAAGACCACAGTGTCTGGTTCGAAAACCTTTCCCAAAAAAGTAACACACAAGCAACAACTTAATTCACTCAGGGCTGTAGAATGGGAATTTATTGTGAAAGAACACAGAGTAATGATTCTTGATTCAGTGGTTGGGGTTAAGAATGCTCCAGCTAGAGCAGGAATTACTAAAGCTCTGTAAAAATGAGGTGGGTTTTATTCTCTTTTCCCTTTCCCCTCTTTTTCAGCTGGTCCCAGTGACTGCCTACCTCACTGTTCCAGTCCTGGAGCTCTCCTGTGACAAGGTTGATTTCCAGACTTGCTTTGTTGCACAGACCAAGACAGAACATGTCTTCTTGTATAACAGGAGTGGCTGCAGAAGCTACTGGAACGCTTTCCTGGGTATTCTGGTTTTGCAATTGATTTCCTTGTTCCAGTTTCACTATTCAGTGTTTTTATTAAGACTGCATGCCCTCAATATAAGGGCAATATGTGATGATTGTAGGTGCAAACAGATATGATCTGCTTTTGTTCTCACTTATGTGGGCTTCCCCCCTCCTCTCTTTCCCCTCCCTTTTTGATAGCATTGTACCATTATTGATTTCAGCAGTTACTCCACATCTAATCAAAAGATTGAGTCCAGCCCTCATAATTCTTGGACATGCTCTGCTCATTTATAAATTAGTCCTGAGGGGCAACAAGAAGCAGCAGCTCCTCATGGGCTCAATTTGATCACGAGCCTAATGCTGTTAATAATAGATGGGCTCCAGAGGAAAGATCAGGGCCTTATTACTACAATGTGGAGAGCACTGATCACTGCCCTTGATTACAAAATGAAAACAGAGTCTGGGCACTCGCACAGAAACCTTCTGACAGTGTGGGACATGATGTATTAGTTGCTTAGCAAAGAGGTGCATTGCCATGAGTGCTTCTTGCTGTACACACTTACACAAAAGGTCTTGTATGGCTTTATTTGACATTTGCCCCTTCCACTGCAGATGAACAGAAAAGCCCTAAGGCTGTGCAAGTATTTTCCATCTTCCCAACTAAAGGCATTTTGGAGGCACGTGAAGGGGAGGCACCTACCAGACAGATTCTGCAGATCAGCTTTGCTGCAAGGTACAGTTAACAGGACTGAAATTGTGCTGTTGACAGAGAGCTGGGGTTGGCTGGAGAAGAGAAGGCTCTGGGGAGCCTCAGAGCCCCTTCCACTGCCTAAAGAGACTCTAGGAGAGCTGAAGAGGGACTTGGGACAATGTCCTGGAGTGATGGGAATAGGGGGAATGGCTTCACACTGCCAGAGGGCAGAGTTAGATTAGAAAGAACTTTTGCACTGCGAGAGTGTCAGGGTGAGGCCCTGGCACAGGTTGCCCAGAGAAGCTGTGGCTACCCCATCTCTGGAATTGTTTAAGGCCAAGGCTGGATGAGGCTTTGAGTGACCTGTTCTAGTGGAAGTTTTTCCTGCCCATGAGTTTTACTGTCTCTTCCAACCCAAAACATTCTATGATTCTATGATGACCCAAAGACTTTAATTTCTTTGTTCTGATTAGGGAGATGCAACTCATGTAAAAAAAAAAATCATTTGCAGTACAAAGTATTTTTGGAGGTTATCACATGATGGCAGCAAGTTAAAATAAGTCTATCCTAGTGATTTCAGTGAGCTCTGAAAACTGCTGACAGGGAAATTTCAAGCAAGCTGTAGGTGAGTTATTGTCATAACTCCCATCTCTTTGGAACACAATCCAGTGATTTCCATCATGGGAGCCACTGATATTGCAGTGGGATGGAGCCTTGACCAGCTGCACTGAACTGTCCCTACTTAGAGGAGGATAGTGGATCAGAAGCCTCCTCAGGCTCCTGACTGCCTACATTTTTCTGCAATTCTGCAGAATATGCCTGAAGCACTTCTTTTTGTCTGACAAATACACTAATCAGCAGGGCTGAAAATGTCTGGAAATACCAGAAAGCAAAGATGTTGCTGTATAGCAACCAGCTCATCTGTGGGGCTCCACAGGAAGAATTCCCAACACAGCAGAATGTGGCAGTAGGAGATAATGATATGCAAGGTGTGAGGTGATTTTAATAATTCACCTCCCCAAATCAGTGGTCTTTCTGCAGGGGAATTATTTTATAAGAAGGAAAAACAAAGACTGGCAGAACAGGCATTTCCCTCAGGCCCTTACAACAGCTGGCACTTGGACACAGAGAAGTCCTTTCCACAGGAACAATCTCAGGAGCACTGAGTAGCATTAGCCTCGGACAAATAATGCTCTTCAACTTGGTGTAAAACTAGTTGTTGTAACCTTTTTGATGTTAATTTACAATCTGGACTCCACCGACTGCCCCTTGTCTCAGGGGAGTGACAGAAACTTTTCCCTTCAAACTTTGTCACAGGGAGGAGTTTTCACATCAAGGCAGTGCAGCTGTTTGCTCCCAGCAGAGCTTCATTTCATTTATTCACCTAAACCAGAATTTCACAAGTAGGATGATATTCTCATTCTTTCAGACATGAATCCAGCATCTTCAGGCACAGACCTGAACATTATTTTCAAGCACCATGTATTGTATCTCTGGAACCAGCCCTATGGGCTTGGCACTAACATTAGTGACCTGTGCTTGTGATTTGGAGCATTTTTAGGACACCATTCTCCCCTTTTCTTCCCATCCCTGAACAGAGGACTGCATGTAGCTGTAACTGAACTTTCTGCTGTGCATTTTAGGAGCAACACTGACTATGAAGCTATTGTGACCATTTCTGGAATGCTGGAAGAGAAGCCTTGCAAGCTGCACCTCAGAGGACGAGGAGTGCACTGTGGGAAGGTGCATTAGGCAGGACAATGTGGGACAAATGTCAAGGTAACAGGCTGGATGCAGATGTGTCATCAGCTGAGCCTGTACTTTCATCTACTTCTATTGTTTTTTGTAGGGACTGGAATTTTAGCAGAATGAAAATATAGGTTATGAGGAAAGAAGTTCTCATGGCACTTCAACCAGTTGTAGTCACGCTCTGTACTTTCATTGCTGAGATAAGCTTAGCTTTAGGCTCAAAACAAGGTTTTAAATTGCAAAACACCTGTGTAAGTCAGGCCAAAGCCCTCTGCAGAGCCCAGCATGACCTGACTCACAGCTAAAGACTATTCACACCTTAAAGTAGCTTTTGTTTTAGCTCATTTATTTGTTTGACATTAAAATGGACATTGACACGTAATAAAGTAAGAATTGGTGAATAGGCCAGCATTTCCCAGGCTGTTTTCTCAGTGCCTTACATAAAAAGGGGAAGAGTCAACTTTCCCTGGTCTCCTTGGAAAATTACCAGCCTGTGTGTTTCATCATGTTTGGACCTTGAGAACACCCCCTTCAGCAAGAGGGAGGAACCCTTCTTCCTTTTCATTCTTTCGCCTCACATGGTTCCCATTTAATCTCACTTCTCTTTAAATTATTTTAGTATTATTTTAGCTAAAGGTCATTGGAATTCCCACTTCTAAGTCTGCTAAATTTTCCACTCCCATTAAATAAAAGGCTTTTTTAAATGTCTCATTATCCCCTCTAAATAATTCAATTTTTTGGCTCTAAGACGGGGCCTGTGTGATTGCTGGGTGAGACAGGCTACAGCATGGGACTATGAAAATAATGAGTTCTAACTCATCATAACCTTCAACTAAAAATCATCATAAAAAGGAAACAAATGTATTGTAAGAACCCAATTGTATTATTAAGTGCAAAAACAAAAGTCAGGACAAAGAACTTCAGTTTGTTAAGAGTTCAAAGCAGCAATGAGTAAATTTCTTTTTCTAGCTGAGTTTCAGTGATCTTCCTGTTCAGGCAAGAGGAGAAATAAGGGATAACAAAAGACACACAATAGCACGTTTGTATTAGCACTGAAGGACTGAGCTGTCACTGATGTTCATGTAGTGCTTGCAGTAAATGTAATGCTGCTATTTGCTTTATGTTAGGTAAGTAAATATGATTAAGCATCAGATTGTCCTTGGAGTCACACAAACTGATACTCAGACATGTAAAAGAAGGAATGGCCACATCCAAATCCTGGCTTCTAGCAATTCAACAGAACCTTTCCATTCAGACACTTCCTGTGGAAATTATGTTCCAGTCCTTCCACTTTCCCCTACTGCAAAGAGGCTTCAAAGCAGCTCCACGAGCAGCGAGCTACAGCCCATCCTCCAGTGTAGGGACAATTTAAGACACAGACAACTTCTGCCTGGGCTAGGACAGACACAGTTGTAAAGGCAAGGATGTCAAGTTTTTGCTTCAAAACAAGCTCTTTAAACTTCTTACAAAATGGAGAAACCTTCTAAGGAAATGCTGGAAAAGTCTTTTCACGTGGACCGATGTCTTCATTTTGAGTGACTCCTTCTGCCAATTTGTCATACAAAAATACTGTCCCATGAACTATTTCCCTCTGGTAATATTCACAGAGTAAAGAGATCAATTAAATTAAAAATATTCATTCATAATCACCATACCAGGGACTGTAGTTGAATTTCAGCTGAGTTAATTTCTTATGCCAGGAAGCCATGTGCCAGTTCACCTTCTTCACAGAACTGCACCATTAATTCTATTTCACAATTTCTGCCTAAAATTTGTAGCTCTAGTAACAAATCCCAGAAGCCACTTGATTTCAGTGGCAATCACTGCTAGGGGAGGCAGAGAGAGCTGTGGTGGTTCTGCCAGCACTGGAGCTCACTTCCCCGGGTACTCGAACACGGCTGCAGCGCCCATGCCAGTTCCAATGCACATGGACACGACTCCATAGGCTCTGAAACAAAGAACATGTGGAATTAAGAAAAAAAGATAGCTCAGGTTTGCATCATTCAGGGAAAAAAAAAAGAAGTAAAGACTACAATCAATTTGAGCTGTCTGCTGCTCTCCCGTTTGCTAGGGGAGCGCCGGGGAATTCAGGTTCAAAGCCATCCATAGGATGGAGAAAGCTTAACCCAAAGAGACAGTTACCTCATCCAAGGGATGGAGAAAGCTCAACCCAAACTGGTGACCCCCGAGCCTGTGGGAGCTGCACAGCCAGCAGGTGTGAGGCCAGTGCTGATGCTCAGCACTCACCTCTTCCCTCTGCGCTTCAGTTCATTGAGCAAAGTGACGACCTGCCGAGCACCTGTACAGCCCAGGGGGTGTCCCAGTGCTATGGCTCCTCCCAGGGGGTTCACCTTCTCCATGGGAATGCCCAGCTTTTCAACACAGTACACAGCCTGCAAAGACACAGGGAATGATTTCATGGAGATGCTCTTGCCTTAGTTCTCAGCTCTCCTCCTCCAAGTCAGAGGCCTGACTCCAACTAGACCATCGTTCTCAGGGGAAAGGAGTGGAACTGATCCAAGGCACAGAGAAGTGAGCTACAACTGTCTATCTCAAACTGAGCCCACACACATTCAGACAACCTGACAAAAAATCACAGCCCCAGTGAAACAGATGTTGCAAGTTGGTAGGAGAGTACAATAGACAATTCTTATTTGGTGGACTTTTTTTTCCTATTATTAAGCTGTATAAGCAATGCCCTGATCATTTTTATTTGAAGGAAAAGGAAAAGAGTTTGCACATGTTATTAACATTTGGCTGAAGATGTAATATGTGGAACAAGTTAAAAATCTCAACCTGGAGACCAAGCTGAAACACACTCAGTTGCCAAGCAATGAAACAACACAAACATGATGCTCACTCACCTGGCTTGCAAAGGCTTCATTAATTTCATATATATCAATGTCATTCAGAGTCAGACCTATGGGCCAGAAAAGTCAGGAGTTAAAAGGAGATATTTTTGCCTCATGACTATATCAAAGAGAGTAATTGCCTGACAGCCTCCCTCTACGAATTCCAGTTCTACTCCATCTACGAGAGGAAGCTCTCTGTGGGGTATCTACACTTGAACACATTTATGTACAGCAGTGTCTAAAGACTACAAAATGTCACAGTTTGTGGCATTCTGTCACTGAGTCTGCCAAGTTTCCTCAGATTTAAGTGTGGTTTCTCTGCAGAGGGATTAAGGATTGAAGGGTGTTTGGAGAATAAAAGCTACAGGTGAGCATGTAGCCAGGCCAGGCTAAATCAGCTCATCAGCTACAAAAGCTGGGTAACCCAATGAGTGTGTAAGTAACCTAAGTAAGATGACAAAATTGTAAAGAGAAAAAAACACCAAAAACCAAACACAAAACCACCACCTACACACTGGTCATAATAAAGAAGGGAAAACACCACTATGTGAACACTTTATCACTTGCCACCTGTCAATTCTTGTTGAGTCTGTGCAGGGATTTACTCCTGAGCTTCTCAAAGGTGAGTGAATGACAATTTACACACCAATACATGGGAAAAACACTGCAACAATCTGAGGCAGGACCTCTTTTAAGGTTTCAGATTTAACTTCACTGTTCCTGGGGCAAACAGCTGCACATGCTTGAATAATATAACCTTAAATCTCAGTCCAAGGAGTCTGATCTGCTTGTGCCCAGCACTGCCTAAACGACAAGTTGTTCTCACCTGCCTTTTCCACAGCAACAGGGATGGCATAGGCTGGCCCTATGCCCATCACATCAGGTGGGACCCCCACCACAGCAAAGGACCTCAGCACCCCCAGCACTGGCAGTCCCAGCTGTGCTGCCTTGGAGCGTTTTGCCAGGAGAACAGCAGCTGCTCCATCGCTGACCTGGCTGGCATTCCCTGTTGGAAGAGACCTATTAACATTCTTTTTGCTCTAGTAAAGGCAGGTAAACCACAGGAACAGCACAAACCTAACAGCTGAGCTGACCTGCTGTAGTGCTTCCATCCTCTTTGAAGGCAGGTTTCAGCTTTGCCAAGCCTTCCAGCGTTGTGGAAGGCCTGATCCCTTCATCTTGGTGCACAGTGATTGTTTTTTTGTTGCCCTCATTATCTGCAACAGTGGTCTTCACTGGAACAATCTCTGTTTTAAACAGCCCCATCTGCTGAGCTTTTGCTGCTCTGGTAAAACAAGAGTATGAAAGGTTAAAATATTTTGGAGGTGAAGTACAGGAGAACTAAAGTGAAAGAAAGCAGTTAGAAAATGAACTAAGGTGGGATTTGGTACATCATCGCTGAGTGGTGGTCAAGACAACAGGCAAAATCTTACTTCCATTCATGGAAAGACAAACTTTTTACTTCTACATCAACAGTATGGCCATTATCCCCAAATCTGGGCCACAGGATCACTCATTTCAGAGCAATATCCCCATTCTGTTCCCATCAACACCTCTTTGCCTGACTGACCACCACCAGACCCCAACATGAAGCTTTATTTATTTCATAGGTATAGCCACATCACAACTGTAAGAAAATAAATGAACCCTGAACTATCAGCAATCAACAACTGTCATAACCAAGCAGAATACAATTAACTAAACCAGAATTAGCTCAAGCCACGTAGATTTAATCTTTCCTATCAGCAAGATATTTTAAAAGCCTTCAAAGCAGAGTTTATTTAGATTTACCTTCCAGAAGTAAATCCTTCACAGAGAATATAAATTGGAAACCAAAAGCTCGTTTTACACCTTCATCACTTTGCACTTTCACCCATAAAATGAAAATTTTCAATGCTCTCAGGTAAGCGAGAATTGGAGCAAAGTGCTGAAGGACAGGTCAGTGACTGCACAGATAGCCTGATATCCTGAGACCAAGGCCAGAAAGTCACCCCTTGTGAGTGTGAGGATCACATTCACATACCCTTGTGGTTATCAGTTCCATGGCAGTGAGAAAGGCTGGCATGCCAAGTTCCCTGAGCAGCAGGGCCGGAATTCAAAGGTTAACTACCCTGTGCAGTGGCTTCCTGTGTTAGATAAATAATTGGACCAGGCTGATGCTTAAACAGAGCTCTGAAAGCAAGTTTAACACTTTGGTGACAGAAACTTTACCCTATCACCTGCCACTGCTCTGGCAGCACAGCCCCATGGATTCTGGGGTCAGTTGACTTTGGCAGTGATTTAACCCAAGAGGAAGGTTATCAGAGGTAGGACTGGACTCACTCAGAGCCAAACACCTGCAGCAAGGACAAGCCACTCTTCTCACAAGCTCAGCAGTTCTCTACCAACACTCAATTATTCCCTCATGGGAAAGGCTCCTTCTGCTGCTGCTCCCACGTTCAGGTTCCAGTGATCCTGAGCCAAAGCCACTATGAAAATACCTCACCAGGCACTTGTTCCAGAAACCTCCCTGAGGTTCTGTCACAGAAACAGAATGGTTTGGGTTGGAAGGGACCTTAAAGATCATCCAGTTCCAACCCCATTGCCATGGGCTCAGGGTCTGTGTGGCCAGTGATACCTGTGTGAGATCAGTCACACAATCCAATACAGCTCTGGACTCCAGTTGCCCATCATGCACAACCCTGCACAGGCACTGCATTTCGGTCTGACCCCCTCAAGCTTCTCTGCTCAACATTAAGGATTGGAAGGCAATACAAAGGCTGCACTTCACCAGGAAGTAGCAGTGTGTTTTCTAGCTGTTCTTTTTTCTTAACTAGAAGGTTAAAAACCCCAAAAAGAGTAAAAAATAAAGCATTTACTTTTGTTGGGAAGCCAAGGCAAAGGCATCTTGCTTTGTCCGAGAAACTCCAAACTTCTCTGCCACATTTTCTGAGGTTATTCTGGGGAAAAAACATCACAGAATTAATCCAAGGACACATCTAATGGAGCTGCAGTTGGCTTCTACTAAAATCACACGAGGTATGAGCAATGGCTTTAGTCTGAAAGCCAACTACTGCCTTCTCAGCTTTGAACTGCTGGCAGAAGCTAATCCTGAATTAAATCTAGGACCAGAACAAGGTTCAAATCTGTTATCCTTGCTCAACAAGCCATTGATCTTAAGAAAACCTTTGATCAGAGTTGTTGATTTCCCCCCATTTCACGTCATTAATCTCCCACCACAAACAAAGATGCCAACATCCACAGCTCCAAGCTCACCACATTCAGGTTGATTTGTAACTATGGTCACTGAGGAGACAGAGCATCTATGAAACCCTTAAAGTGTGGGAAGGGGAAACACTTACCCCATAGGAATAAGGCAATCTCGAGCTTTGGGGTTATCCATCATGTTGGAACTTATATCACCAGGGTTATTTGCACTTCTGAGGGACATTGTTTCCACTCTAAACACAAGAAAAATTTGAATTGCTCCATTAAGACTGATCAAAACTCAGTATCCTGTCAACATGCTTTCCCATTATCCCACAGAAACACAGCTGCTAATTAGGAACTGGCTGAGGCAGAAGCTCTTTAATCATCAATTTCAGAATTATTATGAAATGAAAACAGACTGTGAGATTCGATTGGTTCTTGCTTCGCTAGAACAGGATACCAATGTCAGCAGTTAATTTCTTGTGTTTCCACAGCTAGGAAGGAATTGCTATAATTCTGGCACATTTGTCCTCAAACATAATGAGGTTCAAGGATTGGAGTTTTCAGTGAGATTGCCAACAGACATAAAAATACCACTCAGATCTTAAGAACAGGTTGGCAGTAGAAAAAGAAGTATTGAGCAAACCATGGCAAAGAGATTTCAGTGAGTTGCACCATTTGTGTTTTGCAATACAAATAATTTCAGACATGGATCCCACAGGGTGCAATCTTTGATCACAAATGAATTAACACATTGAAGATATTCAAATTTTTTGCAGAAATACAAAGCCATCAGTTAAGACTCATGAGCTTTTGTAAGGTAAATCTAGATTATGAAGCCTACAATGGGAAGAGGGTTTGAATTCTACTCTGTACCACAAAAGTATCTTTGTGAAGGAAAAATAACAAAGAAATTACTCCTGGAAAATGAAAAGGCAAGCAGAAAGTAAGGCAGCTGGTAGTAAGTGCTATCAGCAATTTAAACTAGCTCTAAGATGGGACACTCCAGCATTGACTTCAGCTGCATCTGCTCCTGAAGGAAGGCACAGGACTGGGTTTTAAGTAAGTGAAACCCCAGCTACTGTTGTCTTTTGTGTTTGAATCCAGGGTTTCTCCACTCTGTGGAACAGTAAGACTTAGGATAAACCCAGCTCCCAAAAGCTATTTGTAACTTCTGGATTGTATGCCTTCTGCAGGGCAGAGGCCAGACAGCTTCCCACAGCAAAACCCAGTGTCTGGCACAGCCAGGGGTGCAAAGCCCAACAGTCCCTTTAAGCACAACATCTTGGTGGACATCACTGTGTGCAGTAATAATTCATCAGAGATAGAGTCATCAAGCTATTAAAAAACAGAAACCCAGTATTTTGGCCCCAGGATTACTGAATAGGTTTTTTTTTTCACTCCTTCTTCTGAGGTCAGTGTGTATGTGGTCACTAATATTTCCCCAAAACTAACCTAATGTTTATATAATCCTCCAAAAATATAAACACTGCTTCTGATATTAGGACTGAAGCACACAGAACAGATCCTGTAAGCCTGCAGAACGCTCATTAGCACACATAGAATATAAATTTCTTCATCCAAGAGAGCTGCTGGTCTTTCAAGAGGCTAGTTAATTGGGGATTATCTAAAAAGCTAATTATGGCAGGCTACTGCACAGGAACAGAGTGTTACCTTCAGGAAGCCTAAGCAAGCACTATGAAAAGACTTCCTTACCCACAGGCCAAGCCAATGTCATACGATCCATTTCGGATGCCACCTGTAACAGCAGTGCACAAATATTCTTACTGTCATCAGGAGCAAAAGCATTTCCAGCCCAGCTGCAGATTCCAAACACCTGAGCACCAGTACAGCCAAATGGGCTTTTCCTCACCCTCCTGCTTGCCAGAGGGAGAGCCAGGCCAAGGAGCTGATGGGGCTGAAGGCAAATGTGGGGCCAGAGAGAACTGGAAGAGCCCTTCTGGAAGCTGCCCGATATGGAGGTGATGGTAGAACTTATCCCCAGAAAACCAAATTACTTCTCTAGGGATAAACTTGGCCACTCAAGGATATAAAAGTATTTAGCTAACATCACACTGCAAATTCCCTATAGCACAAGACATTATCACTGTTTTACTGCTCAGAGAGACTGGAGGACAGGAGGAATGACCCCTTGGGGTGGGACAGGCATCAACTCTGATGCCAGTGCCCACAACACCTACCAGCTATGTTGATAATGGCTTGCAGCCCGGAGGAGCACTGCCGGTTCACACTGGAGCACGGCACTGTTTCTGGAATGCCACTGGAAAACAAGACAGTGTTGGCAAAGACTCAGTGATAAAAACCATATTCATAAGTCTGATGTGCCTGCACCTCTCTAAAGTGGTAATTGTGCAGTGACTGACAGAAGCAAACAATGGCGACAGAAACTGACTGAAATATTTGTAAACTGGGATTCAACAAAAATATCTGGAATACGGGATCCAGCTCAGTATGAGCCATTGACCAACACTGAGCAATGACAGAAAAATCTGAGCCCATCCATGGTTTTGGGACCAGACACAGCAGAGAGAGGAGCAGCCTCAGAGAGTGCAGCTGGGAGCCCACAGAACATCATGTCTCTTTCAGTGGCCCAACACAGGCAGCACAAACAGATTAAACAGCTTCACCTGCCTCCCTGTCTCTTTGCCACTGGCGTTCTCTGAGCACTAAATCAAAGTCCAGTTTCTAGGCAAAAGGTGATTTGCTGTAATTCCTAGGAGTGCAAGAGCCTCACTGCAATCTCTGACCCTTGTGCTACTCACGGCCCACGGAGGAGAGGAAGAACCTCAGTCTAGCTGAGAGCTTACCTTAGAAATTGTGCAACTCTTGCAATCAAGGCACCAGCTCCAGGCTGCAGCACATTCCCTGAGCAAAGACACAATTCCAGTCAATTAGCTGCACTCCCCTCACAGGCATTGAAGGGATGTTCCCATCACCACAGCACCAGATCAGAGCCCCATCACCAACAGGACAGGAGTGAAAACCTAATGCTACACATTAACCCATTCCAGCCCCACGAGAGCTGTGAGTACCCACACGGGGAGCCTGTCCCACAGAGCTGTCCAGAGCAGGAGTTTCACCAGGCAGAGCCTGTCTGTCACTCACCCACACAGATGTCTCCCAGTATCTCAGGACAGAGGTTGACATCCTGAAGGACAGCTGTCATCACAGCAGCCAGCAGCTCATCAGGTGTTGTGTCCTAAAAGCACAGGGGATCAGCAGCACCAGTGAACAGCAGTAAGTGTCCTGTCACCAGTTCAGCTCAGACCACTTCAGAGGGCTGGCCAGTGGTGCTAAAGCAGCCTTACACCACTTCTCAGCTAACTGTGCTGGTTGTTGTCCTACCACAGCAGAATTACCTGGTTTTACCCCAGGTTTCCTTCAGGCACTGCAACACACATGCTGCTTTCTCACCTTCCTTGGATTTATAGGAACATGCTCTGCAGGGCCTTCAAAATCACACAACTACAGAGATTTACGTGACAAGACCCAGCGAATGGAGCCCCTCCATTTGTTCTGTGAGAAAAACGGGTGACCCTGTCCCACCCCAGCCTGAGCGGACCAGCTTGGAGGGATGACAAGCAACGAGCACCCTCTGGGATCGTGCTGGCAGCGTGATCTTCCCCAGGGCTCCGCGGATGCCACCCGGGAGAAGCAGGTCCCGAAGGGAGGCAGGTCAGTGAGCCGCGCGGGTGACAGCGAATGCGATCGCTCCGTGGGCGCACAAAGCCCGACTGCCCCAGCACTAAACCATCACACAGCGCTGCGATTTAGACCCTCCCAGCGCACAGCGCTGGTGGCTGGGGTCCAGCAGGGCCCCAGCACCCGGCGCGCAGGGAGGGGAGGCGGGGAAGGGGATGCCGAGCACCGGCGGGCAGCAGCCCCCGGGCCGTACCTTGAAGCCGCCGCGGCGGGCGCGGGCGATGGCGGTCCTGCGGCCGTGCACCACCACCACATCGTCGGGGCTGCCGGCCCGCGGCGAGCCGCCGGAGCAGGGCACGGCCCTGGGGGCGGCCCCCGGGCCCGGCGCGGCCCCGGCCAAGTGCCCCAGCACCAGCTGCGCCCGCCGCGCCGCCGCCATCTTGTCACGGCGGCGGCTCGCCGCCTCGCGTGGGCCCGCCCCCTCATTTGCATACAGCGGAGCCGTGTGGGCTCAATTTGCATATCCCCGCCCATCTCATTTGCATGGACACGCCCCCGTGCCAAACCGCGCTCCGTCCCCAGAGCCAACGGAGCAAGATAAATAAAAAATAAAAAGGGGGAAAAGAAAGGAAAAAAGGAGGGGGAAGGAAAAAAAAAAGGAAACAAGAAAAACGAGAAGGGGAAAAAAAAAGGATGGGGAAAAAAGGTGGAAAAAATAACAAAGAAAAAGGGAAAAAAAGGTGGAAAAAGGAGAAAGGAGGAAAAAGAACGGGGGGAAAGGTGAATAAAAAACCCAAAAAAAGAAGGAAAGAAGGTAAAAGGGGAAAAAAAAAGGTGGAAAAATAGGAAAAAAGGTGGGGGAAAAGAACAAAAGAGAGGGGAAAGAAGGTAAAAGAAAAAAGTTGGAAAAGGGGAAAAAAAGGAGGAAAACAAAAAAATGGGGGGGAAAAGGAGAAAAGTGGAAAGGGGAAAAAAGGAGGAAAAAGGACACGGGGAAAAGGTAGGAAAAAAGAACAAAAAAGAGGGGAAAAATGGTGAAAAGGAAAAAAATGGGAAAGGGAAAAAAAAGAAGGAAAAGAGGAAAAGGAGAAAAAAAGAGGAAAAAGGACGAGGGAAAAGGTGGAAAAAGGATGGGGAAAAAGGTGGAAAAAAATAACAAAAAAGTGGGAAAAGGGGGAAAAAGGAGGCAAAGAGGAAAAAAGGGGGGCAAAAGGAGGAAAATAGGAAAAAGGGGGGGGAGGAGAAAAAAAGGACAAAAGGGAGAAAAGCGGGGGAAAGGGAAAATAAGGGGGAGAAAGGGAGAGAAAGGGGGGAAGGGGGGAGAAGGGAGGGAAAGGCGAGGGAAAAAGAATAGGGCAGAGAAAATGCGGGAATGAGGGGAGGAGTGGGAAAATGAAGATGAAATAGAAATAAAGAAAAATACTCAGAAATTTCAAATAAAAAGAAATAAATTTAAAATAAATGCAAATTAAGTTTAGAAGCACAAAATCCTGTGTATTGGGAGTCCAAGGGGGAATGTCAGGACAAAGGGACACGCAGAACCGTCGGCTGGGAGCGCTGCACAGGTCCATCTGTTCCAGAAAAGCCAGGAACCATCCGATCTTTGTCACCCTCTGCCTCCACTGTCCCCGGGATGGTCACAGCAATGCCCCCTGTGCCCCCAGCCTCCCTGGGAGCTGCCCTGTTGGTGAGCAGGGCACAGGCAAGAGGAATGCAGGCTGGTGGAGCCATGAAGGTCAGAAAAGACCTCCAAGATCATCGAATCCAACCATGCTCAGCACCAAACCACATCCCAAATGCCACATCCACACTTCCAGGGATGGTGATTCCACCACTCTCCTGGCCAGCCATGTGCTGCCCCAGTCCACCCCCCAAAAGGAATTAATTTCTCCACGGACGCGCAGCAGTGCGCAGGGAAAGCCGCAGGGCTCGCTACGGGCAAAATAAAACCAAACAAACAGAAAACGACTTTACATGGTATAATAATTCCATTTGCTTTTCCTAGTTCCATTCTGTACATCAGAACACTGCAAGGGTTTTACAAACCAGAAAGGCAAAGGCACCTGAGGAGTGTCTCACACTCACACTCACACACACACTCACATGAGCCACATCCATCCATGGGAGGATTTAGGTGGTTTGAGGGCCCTGGGAGCATTTTGGGACAGCCAGGAACCCCCTCTGGCTCTCAAATCTTTGGAAAGAAGGGAAACCCTCCCACCACTGAAGGGCTGAGAAAACCCAAACCAAACAGATTTAATGAAAGAAGAGAAAACAGCTTAAAAAAGGTTTTGATTTTTTTTTTAGCTTTGGTGAACACACACTTTGTTACCCTCTTCTGTCAAACCCGTTCCCAGATAATGCTGATTTTTTTTCCCCGCTGTGTTTGTTTCCATCCATCCCATATTACTGACCAGACTGATGGATTTGGTCCTATTCACAGAATAAAATTCTTCATTCCCCTCAGCAAAAAGAGACTTTTCCTCCTCCCTGTGGGGAGCTGCCCATCAGCCCCACGGCTGACTGACACAACCCCTGGTGCTGCTCCAGCCCTCCAGCTTCCCTGGAACCTGGCCTGGAATAAATGGCCTCAATAGCTTTCAGACAGATTTATAGGGAATTCTTTTAGGTATTTATTTTAATTTGCCCTAATACACAGTGTTTTGTTTTTAAAAATGGAAATAATTCTTAAAATCATAAAATCTTTGAAGGTTTGGGTTGGAAGGGACCTTAGAGCTCATCTCATTCCAACCCCTTGCCATGGGGCAGGGACACTTTTTCACTAGACCAGGTTGCTCTGAGCCATATCCAACCCTGTGCCTGGATGTTTCCAGAAATGGGATATCCACAGCTACACTGGGCAACCTCCTAAATCTTGCTTCTCTGTTCAGAGCTGAGGACATGGACATGCTCTCACCACCACACCAGCGATGCAAAGCCTTGATCTCTTCCACATGGAAGTATTCAATGATGTGCTCACACAAACAACCAATTTATCACTTTCCTCTTAAGTCTAAGCAACACTTTTCATTTTCACTGAGAACCAGCATTAAAATAAACCTGTGTCTGACACACTGGCCTGAGGATGGAGCCCCCTGGTAACTGCTTTTTGGACCCTTTGCTGAGTCAATGGAAACAGCTAAGGCAGCAGAGAAGGGGGAGATGGGATGGTGCAATTAATTTATCCCAAAACCCCCAAGAGCTGATTGATTGATTAATTAACTTGATTCCAGGGACTCTGTGTGTGCTTCCTGCCCAGTTTTCCCAGCAGGGTAGCGCTGGTCAGAGGCCGTAGCCCAGCTCTGCTTTTGACTGGCCCATTTTCTCATACAACTTCAAACCTACTGTGGGAAAGAATCAGCTTCCAGCTGCCCTCCACTGCTGCAGCTCCACTTTCCCAGTCTGAGGCTCCACTGTCCTGCAGCTGCCCTCTTGGGCACTACCACGGAAGTGATGCTCCCCTTCCCTGTACCTGGGGATGGTCCACAAGGCACAGAGGAGGAGGTGCCCAGAGGAGGACACACCCAGATTCACAAACATCACTCCTCTCTGCCTAATTTTAGGCACTCTCTTGGATTTTACAGAGATCCACTGGGCTCTCCCTGCAGCTCCACTTCCAGAACACGATGGCATCCCTCCAGCACGGGCAGGGCTCAGCAGAACTGTGGCTGCGAGCAGAGCCATCCGTGCTAAGATTCCCTTTGGCTCCCACCCGAATCCTGATGGCTCCCAGCACAATCTGGCTGCTGCTCAGCCCTGCCCGCTTATTTAAACACCACCACCATCATTTACCCATCCCTCAGCCCACGGCAGGGGTCCTGGGCATCCGTCCGCGGGCGTACCCGGCAGAGACCTCCTGCACCCCGAGAGGACCCCCTGCTTCCCAGACTCACACACGCACACACACACGCGCCAAGGCAAAGTCAACACGGCTGCTGCAGCCTCGCACCAGATCCGAGCCGAGCGTCACTCCTGGATTGTAACCGCGTAAGGCACAGGACAGTGTGAAACGCCGCCCGCCACGGCGCCCGCTGCTCCGGGGGCTTGGGCCCCTCGTCAGCGGGGACGCCCAGGTCCCCCCGACTCTGTGGTCTGAGGATCATCTCCTCCGGCTTGGCTGAAGGCCCTGTCTGCTCCTCTGCGAAAGGTGGTGATGGCCACTGAGCATCCGACTCCCCCACCGGTCCTGGGGATGCCGCCAGCACCGCCGCTGTGCTGGGGGCACATTTCCCGCTTGCCGAGGGGACATTTCCCAGTTGCTGCAGGGGACATTTCCTGCTTGCTGCAGGGGACATTTCCCAGTTGCTGCAGGGACATTTCCCGCTTGCCGAGGGGACATTTCCCAGTTGCTGCAGGGACATTTCCCGCTTGCNAGGGGACATTTCCCAGTTGCTGCAGGGACATTTCCCGCTTGCCGAGGGGACATTTCCCAGTTGCTGCAGGGACATTTCCCGCTTGCTGAGGGGGACATTTCCCAGTTGCTGCAGGGGACATTTCCCGCTTGCCGAGGGGGACATTTCCCAGTTGCTGCAGGGGACATTTCCCGCTTGCCGAGGGGGACATTTCCCAGTTGCTGCAGGGGACATTTCCCATTTGCCGAGGGGACATTTCCTGCTTGCTGAGGGGACATTTCCCATTTGCTGAGGGGACATTTCCCAGTTGCTGCGGGGACATTTCCCACTTGCTGTGGGGACATTTCCCCCTTGCTGCGGGGACATTTCCCCCTTGCTGCGGGGACATTTCCCGCTTGCCACACTTCCCCCAGGAGAGCAGTTACTGAGCGACAGGGGCTGACCCCGGTACCGCTGGCAGCAGGGAGGTTACGTGGTCCAGCACCCACACAGGCCGGGAAATCCCTCGCTCTGAATCCCCGACAGTCCCGAGAGCAGCTTGAAAATCCAAGGGCGCAGCGGGGCCGAGGCAGCAGCGAGTGAGAAGGGACTGTCAGGACAGCCCCGGGTGAGGTCCGACCTCCCGCCGGCGCTTCCCATCCCCGCTGCCGGCGCTCAGAGCCCGCAGTTGACAAAAGGGTGTCTCAGCAGGTCCTCGGCCGTCGGCCTCCGCTTCTCCTCCACGAAGATCTGCTTGAGGAAGTTGCGGCAGGAGCTGGAGACGCCGTCGGGGAGCTGGGGGTTGGTCGGCTGCGTGGCGATTTTAAAAATTGCCGCCATGGCCTCGAACTCTGCCCAGGGCGGCTTCTCCGTTAACATCTCCACCACGGTGCAGGCCACGCTCCTGCAACAACGGCGAGCACAGGGTGAGAGACTGTGGGTATTCTCAGTTTACTAAGAGAGAAAATGAAGGTTTCTAACCAGGCAGAAGCCTGGGAAACAGTTGGGAAAGAATGTAAATAATGTTTTATCTCTCCTGTTGTTCACATTGTTTATAGATAAGTTCTGCCACTCTGTATCATTCACTGCACACCAATGGTGTGAGATGTTTCAATAGAATTGGTCTGGATGAAACTCTCTATAAAAAGAGCAGTGTATTTGAAACAAATCAGAGTTCTACTCTCTCCTTCTGAAGTGGAGTCATTTCATACCATCCTGCCTCAACAGCGTCAAGGGACTGCAGCGGTGGCCCCGCAGCTCGAGTCTAACCAGCTCTGGGATTGCACCTGCCCAAAGGGAACTGGGCAGGGAGCAAACCTGCAGAAGATGGGCACATACCCCTGGAATGTCTGGTCTCCTGAAGCGCCCTGGTCACACAGGTCCTTGGCACTCAACTCTCTACTCCCATGGCAGGAGTGAGTGCATGAGCCTTGCCTTAAAGCTGGTGGCTTTTCTGCCCGCTTTAACTGGCAGGTACTATGTTTTGTAAAAACTCAGGGAAACACTAAGTTACCTTGCAGATACTGAGTCTCATAAAAGCTCACTGGAGCATCCCCTGAAGGGAAACCCATGCACAGCTTCAGACAGCACAGTTTCAACAACAGCATGTAGTTCCCAAGGAAGCTGAACCAGAAAAAAACATATTTGCCTACATCCAACTTCATCTCTGAGGTGTGCCGTCTGAGAGGGAACAGATGAGATGAGCAGCAAAGAGCCTGAGAGGTCTCCCTTGCTTTGCTCAAGAATCCTGGTCTCAGCAAAGATACTCTGCCACCTCTATTCATGAATGATCCTAAAAAGAATTAAACCTATCCTATTGATCCTAAAAAAATTAAACATTTGCCTCACATCAGCCAGTGCAGGTGGTGCAGGGCACATGGACACCTGCTAAGGACTTTCTAGGTTTTCCCACCCAATTAGGGGTCTCTTGGAAGGATTATTTTTTGTTGGCTCTCTTTGCTTGGGCATCCAACAGGAAGCACACTGGGAAGACATTGCTTCCTCCTCATATACTGGGAAGATTAGTAGTGCCACCCCAACTCCTCCAGGTCCCATCTGTCATCCTCCAGAGGATAAAATTCACAAGCAGCCCATGATTTTGGTTGTCTTTGTGCCTTAGCCACATGCAAACGTCCAGCAGCAGATTTGGGAAGACCATGAAGATCCCCATAGCCTCTGAGTTGGGCTTAGTAAACCCAAAATCAGGGCCACCAAAACTCAACAGGTCTTTTAGTGAGCTTTGTTATCAACCTGTTTTCCAGAATGAAAAAGCAGTTATGGGGATGAGCTGGATGTGAGAATCACACAAGACAAAAGTTTCTGAAAGCAAGTTGTGATTCTGAGTGCTCTTGTTTTGGGAACTTAGCTACAACAGGTTTCCTCTGGATATCTGCACAGTTGATCCTAACATGTATCTCCTATTTTCCATCCTTTGCACTGCCTCCAGCTACTAGCTATACCTGTTGCCCCCATTACAGCTTCCCAAAAGGATTGTTTGATTTAAGTAGCAATGGTGGGGTTTTTACTGCTTTCCTTACCACACATCAGCTTTCCTTCCATAGCCCTCTCCACTGATAACCTCTGGGCTCATCCAGTATGGTGTTCCCGTGACAGATTTAATCCCAGTCCCAGACATGCAGATGGTCTGGATGCGTTTGCTGGCCCCAAAATCTCCAAGTTTCACATTTCCAGCAGAATCTCTCAGAATATTGGCACCTGGGGTGAGAAGCAAAGACAAGACCCCCAAGAAATGAAGCAGGAACCTGAAGTGGCACAGGCAGAGAGCCAGGCAGGGAGGAGCCCAAAGGGCTGTGGTGGGGCTGGACTCAGCATCATTTCAAATCCTTCTCTCCTAAGGCAGCTGCTCTCCAAGAGGGTTGATCCCACCAGCATCCCCTCATTCAGCAGGTTTCCCAAAAATGAGCAGTGCATGGGGGCCAACAGATTATCCTCCCACCCAGAGAGAGCAGAAAGCAGCATCAGACCTCTCCAAATGCCAGAGCACCTCAGTTCTTGGGTGTTACACCAGATTTTCAGACATGTAAGGGCAGTCAACAATAATCCCTTGAGAGAGAAAACAGCCCACGTTTTTGGTTTCAGCTGCTTGCTCAAGATTTTCATGGTTCAATCTGGTGAAGGGCAGGGACAACAACACTTCAAAGGGCAGATCCCAGCACTATGCTGTGCACAAGGATTTGCACTGGGGCAGGGGGAGGCTGGGCTGAACAAACCCAAGCAAGCAAGAAGTCTCTCTATTATCCACTCACCTTTAATATCCCTGTGGACAATCATATTGCTGTGAAGGTAGAAGACTCCCTGCAGGATCTGCCTGGTGTACTTGCGTGTGACGTTCTCAGTCAGAGCACCGTAAGCTTTTAGCTGGTCCTTTATTGAGCCCTGTTGCAAAGAAACAACACACACCAACTGTAAGGACCAGAGAAGCCATCACATCACATCACATCACAACAACTTCTTAAACCTCCCTGACCACTCTGTCTTCCAGATCAATAAAAACCACAAAACCCTATTAGCAGAAAAAAACCCCAGAAATCCACTAAGTGGGGAACAAAGCAAAGACTTGTCCTGGTGTCCCAGAGCCCTGGGGAGATGGAGTGTGGTTTGGTGCCTGGCACAGCTTCCTCCTGCCACCACCACAGACCTTCTTCCCCCTCTAGTGGCTGCAGGGGGGTCACTAACAGCTCACTGAGAAGGACCAAACCGATGAGGATTTACAACTCAAATGAGAAGATAAACTCGATTAATTAGATTTATAAAATCTTTAATGTTGGAAAAAACCTCTGACACCATCCATTCCAATCATTAACCCAGCAGTGCCAGGTCCACCACTAAACTACCTGTTCTTCTGAGCATTTCCAGTGATTGTGATTCCATCACTTCCCTGGGCAGCCTATTCTGATGCTTGACAACCCTTTCAGTGAAGAAATTGTTCCTAACACCCAATCTAAATCTCCATATCCTCTTTTCCTTTCACTTCTTACCTGTGAGAAAAGAACAACTCCCACCTGTATACAATCTCCTTTCAGGGAGTTGTAGAGAGCCAGTTCTTTAGGGCCAAGATAATGAATCAGTCTTTGAAATTCTCCTCCCAAAATTTTTCACAGCAAGGAACACCCACAGCCATGAGGGACAGCCAGCCCCAAAAGGGACTGCTCCAACAAGACCACCCAGAGTAAATAATTTGCAAATCCTTGAATTTCTGACCCAGGCATGCAGGCTCGAACTGGTTTGATGATATTAATCAAAGAGGAAAGGGAGCAGAGGTGCAGATATTTATCATCTTCAGCAGGCTGATCCCCTTGGTTTTAGCTGCATTTTTAGGCCACTTGGAAATTGATGTGTTTCACTGTGCCAGAGAGCTGGGTTTTAGCAGGGATGAACCAGAGGCAGATTTGGGGTTCATACTCAGCTCTACTTCTGGTATTCAGGTCAACTGGGAGGTGGGAGGGGAAACTCATCCTGTTTCTGCCTGTCCTTCAGCTCTGGGGTTGATCCAAGATTGCCAGTCCTGTTCTGGGAACAGCAGCTGCTCTGCTCCAAGCCAGCCCATCAAACTCTATTAGCTTTTCCACATCCACCCATCTCTGCTGCTGCTCTGCCCAGCTACTGTTTTGGCTTCTTTTGAGGCTGGTGCTGATCCTGTGGATGGGCCTCTCCTTTTCCTTTCTCAGCACTGCTGAAGCAACCTGAGATGCTCTAAATTACCCCCTCAATATAACCTGTATGAAGGGTACGTTCCCTCACCACAACCAAAATAGATTTCTTATCCTGCCCTCCCTCACCTGATGAGGGGATATCAAACAAAGAGGGGAAACTGGTTCTTTGAGGCCTTGGTCAATTGGACCATTCTGTTTTCCAAGCATAATTTAAAAAACAGTTTATGGGCAGGACAGAAACTATAGAGTCAGCAGAACAGCAGCCTCAGGGTGCACCCAAACTTGGCCCTGTGAACATTTTGCCAAGCTGAGTGTCTCAAACTGGAAGCTTGGCCAGACCCAGCTTTGCAGAGCTGCTGTCCTGCAAGGTTTGGGAACTTCCTCATTTCCACTGGCCCTGGAAACCAGAGCCCCGAGCTGCTGTTGTCAAATGAGCGGTTGTTGCAGCAGCAAAGTCAATCTGTGTTTGGTCAGAACTCAACTTTATCATTTAAAATAACAAACACTGAATTTCCAGCCCTGCTGGACACTGCCCCAGCATCAAATGCTGGTTTCCTGGCTGCTAACAAACATCAGCACGCTGTGGAATAAGCAGCAAGGGAACTGCTAGAATTCCTGGGATTTACTCCTCTGGGTCCACACCTTGTGGCAGGGCCTGAAGGCAAGATGCCCACAGGGACAGAGGGAGGACAGGGCTTGGAAGGGACTCAGAGGCATGGAAGTCCACCTGATCACTCACATGGCAAGATGCATACAGAGAGCCTCTAGCACATTTACTTAATGACTAAAATTATTTGCAACCAAATGACTAAATTGTCCCTTCTGACCTTACAAGTCTCTGTATAAACAAGGGTTTATTCTCCCACACTCTGGGGAACAAATCCAGCTGGACAGAAGGGTCTTAGGAGAACACATCCTCCAGCAATGTAAATAGCATTTTGCTGTTTTACACCATCAGCTTAATGGCTGATGTAATTCACAAGCTCCCAAAGAAAGAGATGCTCAACTCACCCCTGCACAATCTCCAGTCCCTGCTTAAACTCCCTCAAAGCATTCTGATCTTTTTCCCCGTGACTATTTCATCCTGTATCAGCAAAGCCACAAACTGAAGTCAATCCTGCACAAGATAATGCTGCCCACAGAAAGCTGTGTCCTCAACAGAAGACTCTAAGTGAACACCACTGTTTCCAATACACACGTGCTGAAAGCCACAAGTAATTGGTGACAGCTGTGGGTGGACAGTTGTACTATTAGCTTGTCCTGCAGGGATTTGCAGTAAATACTTAAGGATGGGCTCAGGCCACAGTGTCTGGATCATGTCCCACATTCACCAAGCTCAGACTGCAGACTGTGAACACACCCTGCTTCAGGATTCAAACCTAAAACCTGCTTGCAGGGCTTTTCATTTCACCCAGTGCTTGCTGAGGGGCTGCACCATGACATCTGACTCACATCCTGAGCTCTCCCAAGCCTTAAGGATGCATCCACTGCTTTGGTTGGGTTAATTAGCCATAAAACAGCTCAGCTGGACAGATACAAATTTCACCAAAGTCCAGGAGACTCTAAATCTGTTTTCTGCCACTCAGGACAATGTTTGGCAGGAAGCACACTTACCCCTGGCATGTATTCCACAAAGATAGACAGTTTCTTCTCCTCAGGATCCCGCAGGCACCCATAGTACTGCACGATCCTGTCGTGACGGAGAGTCTTCAACAGCTGGATCTCACATTCCAAAGCATTCACCTCCTGTAACAAACCACACAGGCTTCCTGGTGAAAGGGAACATGATACAAATACTGCTCCATGCTGAGCAGTTTTTGTAGCAGCTGTGAAGCTGTCCACAAAGATATTGGCCACACGAGGCTCAGAAATAAGGAGCACTGCCCTAAGGGAAAAGCAAGGAGAAAGACAGGACTTGGCTTTGAGACAGGTTTTATTATAATTATTATCATTATCATTATTGTTATTACTTGTGTTTAAGGAGTTTTTCTGGAAATATTTCAACAAAGTCACTGAGAACGGGGAGAAGGTAAAGGGAGCAAGAAGGACAAAATAAGGAAGATCAGACAGACCTGCAAGAGATGATAAAGGATACAGAGCAGGCCAATGTAACCAAGGAACTGGGAGGCACAGCAGTCACCAGAGCACTGTGACTGGTGCCATGAGCCTCTCAGGACTACTCCAGAGAGGGAAAGCAACACCCTGTCTCCACAAACTGCCTTCCAGGGACATGGACACCTCCACCCCCAGCCCACAGCTCCCCAGGGTGCTGCAGAACAGCCCTGCCCTTGTACTCACTTTACTTGTCTCCTGGCTGTCAGGGTCGAAAGGCACCTGCTTCACTGACAGCTCCCTCCCAGTGTCAGCATCATAGCAGAGATAAACTTCCCCAAAAGCTCCTCTTCCCAGCAGCTTCCCCAGCCTCCAGTTCACAGGTGCCTGCAGGGCTACAGGGGAGAGGAGAGGGTTCAGAGAAGAGAGGGAGAACCTGCACAGCACCCTTCAGCATCAGGGTCCACCTGACCCTACAGGGCAGTCAGTGAGCTTCTCTCTCCCAGGTGCACCAGGACAAACCAGTTTTAACTACACTGGTGCTGTTGGTGTGAGGGGAATGTCTCCCAGTCTGCATTAGCATAAAGCACAAACAAATCCAGAAAAGTCCTATTTCATTAAGAGTCTTTCCTCCCAATGCTGGAATTTCCCTTCTGCTGTGGGAGTGTTTAGCAGAACAGAGGATGGCTGAGCAACAACCCAGGCAGAGACCAGTGAGCAGGTTTATCTCACTGGTAATTTCTAGGATGTTATCCATCACTAAACACACCCAAAATGCACCAATTTTTATATCATGGGCAGTGTTGCAATAGCAGAGGAGCGAGCAAGACCATCTTTGGGTGCAATGCAAGCCAAGGAACAGAAACTCTGGATGCATTTGCTCCCACATCCCAAATTTGGGAAGCTGACACAGCCTACACTGACAGTCCAACACACAAGCAATCACCTGCAAGTGGAGAACACCAGCTGACCCCACTCAGCTCTCAGCCAAAGGCCAAGGTAAGACACAGGGTGCTGGATTAAACCTTCTCGTGGCACAGAAGCTGCTGCAGTGTGCCTCATGGTGGGGATGCAATCAAAGTTTACCCATGGCTGGCTTAGCTGATGTCCAGTGACTCAGCAGGTGACAATAACTCAATTTTGTGTCAAATCCCAGCTCTGCTCTCAGGCACCCAGGGGTTTGGTTCACTCACAGTTCCTGGCTTTTGTCGGGGAGGTGCTGAATGCCTGCAGACCCTTTTCACAATTGTTCCAACACTTGGGTCTGTACTCATCATACTGCAAGGTGCTGAGCTTGCTGTCCCCAGTAAAGCTCTTGGTTCTGCTGGAAGGAACCAGCTGAAACAGGTTCTCCTGTGGGAAGTAACTCCTGGGGAAAGTCCTCCGGCCTGCAGGGAAAAAGGGGTAAAATTACAGCCAGAGCACACACACCACCTTGGACCCACCTGTCACCACCTTCTCACATCACTGCCCAGATCCTCACCTCTTCAAATTAAGCAAAGCAAGTATAACGAAACTGAAGCAAAGGCCTGTGAAGATTTTAAATTCAATTTAAGGGTTGATAACAGCAGGCATTACATCTAATGTAGATGTTTCCAGAGGGTTTTGCAACAGTTTAATTACATCAGGGAGTTGGTTGGTTGTTAATCACAATTAAACACTGAACAGGCAGAAATTTACATTGAAAATTATCCCTGCCATCCCCTAAGTCCACATGCAAATGACCACACAGCAGGGCCAGACCTGCTTTCACAGGGGTGTCAGTGAGAGATGAAACTCATTCTGGAAAGATCCATATGCTCTCTGCACGTCCTCAGTACATTTTTCCCAAGGGAATTTCTGCCTCCCACTACTTGCTGTCTCATACAGTGACAGAATGAGCAGGAAAAAGATGATGGAGTTGGCCCCAAAGCTCAGAGCTCACCAGCTTGAAACAGGGAAGCAAACAGATACTGCTACCCTGAAATTGCTTGGGGATTTCCTATGGCTCAGTGAGAAACCTGCTGTAAAGGTCACAAAAATCATCCTCAAAAGCAAGCAATTTAGGGGAATAGGAAGGTTGATACTGCCAGGGATGAGAAATGCCAATCATCTCCATGGCTAAATTAAAACAGAAGGTGTAAGCAGAGGACAGGCTCAGCATTTCCCAACACAGTCTCACAGAGAACACCCTTCTGAACACACAAGTGAATCCCAAAGCACTTGGTGGCTCTCCCTTTATCAGAAACCTCTCCTTCCCAAGTGTTTCCAGTCCCAGGCACTGTCAGAAGCCAGCAAGGACTGATCACCTCCCTCCCTGAGCCCCCATCATGTCCTTACCATCACTGTAGTCCTTGCGACTCTGGGACAGATGGTACTGCCTCGGGAAGGTCCCACCTTTCCCAAACCTCTCACAGAATGGGATGTCAAAATCTGGCAGGAGGGAAGAAGACACAGATATTTCTCAGATCAGATCAGTTTCAAGTGCCCAGAGTGTTTCTTATGGGAAACACTGAGTTAGAGCTGAGAAGGAGGTGACAAGGTGTTCATTTACACAACCCTACACACCCCAAGGCTCCCTGTGAAATCTGCCCACAGTCACAAACCCTTCAGTGGAAAATCAGGGTTAAGCACACTGCCCTTACTGCCCCTAAAGCAGAGGTTTAACTGCTGAACTTATGGACCCTGGCCCACATTGTTCAAGTGCAAGGCAGAGGATTAACACAGACCAGGCTTGGTTTCCAAGGTAGGGCACTAAAACATCTTATTTGCACTTGGAAAATGCAAAAAAATGAAACAGAACTGTCAGGCAGGATTAGGCCTAGACACATCCACTCCAAAACCTTTGCTCTGATATCAGCTATTTCCAGGGAAATGTAAAAAAATCCAGCACTTGACTAACACCAGATAATATCTCTCCTCTTTCTTCTCAGATGTGACTACTCCCCTCTGAAAACCAATTTAAACCTCCAGAGCTCCAAACTTTTATATTTATTTGATTAAATGCTAGAAAGATAGAATATACAGAAGGGATTAAAGACCATCAGCGTTTAGACACTGGGTGATGAGAGAGATGGATGGACATGCAAGATAAGGACATATTTTTTTAATAAAGACCACAGCACAGGAAGCCATTGCTGGTAGCACCAAATAACTTGAGATTAAAATATCTGTCATTCCACCCCCTTCTTTCACCTGCTGTTTTTCCTCCATCCAATTCTAATGACACAGCCCCTTCTGACTGTTTGTTTGTCTTAGCCCGGGGCCAGCAGCCGCTCCTCAGAGGCCACTGCTGGCCTCTGCTGTATTTAGGTGTGATTGCCAAAAAGAGCACATAATGGCTGAAATATGGTCAGCAAGAGGAGCAACAAGGACAGGGCAAGAGGTTCTTGGTGAGCCACGTGTGAACAACAGTGCCCAGAGGTGTCTCAAAGCAAAATGCCACGGGGGGAGCATTAAAACCTTCAGCAAGGAGGGCTGACTGCAGCTTCATCTCTGCAGCTCAATCAGAAATCCTGCCTCAGGCCAGCAATGAGTTATCCTGCCACAGGCTGGCTGCCATTTGCTCATTTTTAATAGTGCAAGTCATTACAATATTACAGAGTTTCCATTATTTAACCAGCTGGTTATTTCTGAGTGATTAAGCAGTAACCTATGATCTGTGCAAGCCCCACTACAGTTTCTCTCACAGCGTTTGCACTATTGCAGATTATTATTCATGCAAGTGGAAGAGGTGTAACTCCCTAGAGAGTTGGGGTTTGCTGTGTAGGAAGTGGAGGTCCTGAAGAGCAACTCAGAGATGAGAAAAGAGAGACAAAAGCTGATCCTACAAGGCTGTTCCCAGCTTGTCAGCACCTTGCAGTTATCTGCAAACACAAGAGCAATATCTTCAAACACAGATCTCTCAACATCTTTCCTTGCTTGCATCCATCCACCTCAGGGCCCCAGCTGCCCAGTTTGGACTGTGGCTGCTGTCAATTGATTCCCAAACCAGTCCCAAAGGTATTGCTGCAGGATCACAAAGGGTTAATGAAGACAAGAGCAGCCCTGCCTATGTTTGATGCTCTGGGCCTTTTGATTTTAGAAAATATTCATGTTTGGTCATTGCAGGGTCAGTTCTGAAGGGTTACCCAAGCCATGGAGTTGTCTTGCTTGATTGCTTTTAATTACTTTTCATGCAGTGCCATCTCTCTAAATAGTCTTTACCCAGCCTCTTTACTATATGCTTTTTATACATTTCAGCAAATATAAACCACCAAGAGTACTTACCCATGCAATCAAGACTGTCTTTGGGATGGCTCTTCCTTCCAGGAACAGGGGTTTGGGGAAAGGGAGGGCTGCAAAGGGATGGGAAAGAAAAAAAAAAAGATTTATTTATTACATCAGAACAGCTATGGAACTAATACACTAAGGAAAGGACAGGATAAACTACAAGCTGCACTGACCACTGAGCTCCCATCCTCCTCCTGCACAAGAATGAAGAATGGTTTTTTGGCTGGATCACAGCTTGTTCCTGTGGCAAACAAAAGGGATGCTGCAAAACCCACAGTCACCAGGCTGAAATGAAGCAGCCAAGGATCATCACCCCTGTGCAGGAGGCAGCACAGGAGGGCCACAGGCTTCTGCTCCCTCAACACCAAGTGTTCAACCACACACCTCTGCTCTCCCTGAACACTGCTCAGCTGCTGCAGGTGCACACACCAGAGTCCTTCAGCCATGCTCAGTTCATGCAGGTTTCCCTCCTGCCCAACATCACCTCCCACCCAGACTGCACCACCACTGGGACATGCAGCCTCCCACAGGACCAGGAGGGACAGTGTGGCATTGGTGACTCAAGGCTCAAGGTCTTTAAACTACAGTGAGAGGATGGAAAAGCACTGCAAGGGGGTTTCTGCAAGCCCAATTTCACCCCAGGCTCTTCAAGAGTGAGTTGGGCATGTGAGTTTTCCACTCACTCTTTTAACAATATGGGCACAGAGTAGAAATCAGCTTTGTACGGTGCTCTGAAACCTACTCACGTCAAAGCTGATCACTGCTGTGGCAAAGAGCAGTTTGTGGTGCTGTTCCTAAACCCTCAGCCTGGTCACTGAGCCTGTAAATTGCTCTGTCCTCTTGGGCTGATGCCATCCCAAACAACTGGCTGCAAGGTCTCTGCCACCTCCTTGCAGGAATAGTCCCACTTACTCCTCTTCCTTGGAACAATACAGCCCTCCTTGTGCCTTTTCCAGCTCCTAGACCCATGACTGGACACATCTGCCTGCATTGGACATGAAAGGCCATGCCACCCTCTCACAGACAGAGAGCTAAAAGCCTAAAGCTCTCCTCTGAGTTCACAGCAGAGTGTTATGAACAGCCTGTGCTCCTTCTGCTGTTCTTCTTGGCAAAATCTGTGCAAAAGCAAAGCTGGGGCAGAGAGGTTGGGAACACAAGGAATCCAGCTTCGATACAGCCCTAACAATGAGCAAATACATCACAGGAAATTATTAAAAGCCACAAAAAGGAAATGGACCTTGATGCTGAGACAGGTCCAAAGCACACGGAGTTGCAAACCCGGAGCACAATCTACCCAAGGCAGGCCTGCTGGAACGCAGCCTTGGGGCTGTATGGCAACAGCAGCAGCGGAAAAAAATAGACAACCTTTGATGCAGATGGAAAAAAAAATAGACTGCTTCCCAAAAGGACACTGTGTCTTATCCACAGCTCACCCTGCACAGCAGCAAACACAGGGATTCTGTGCACGTGTGAGCTGGGATCCAGCTCAATGGCACCAGGCACTGAATCGCAGCCTGGGTTAGTACAACGTGTCCCAGTTGCTTCCTGCTGAGTAGCTAAACTTAGTTACTGCTCATCTGGTGTCCTCAGCACCTTGACTGACATGTCTGTGGCTGCTGGCACTGCACAGGGGCTGCTGAGCTTGCCAGTGGTCAGTGGAGAGCAGACAGCATGCCCGGGGAGGAGGAGGCACGGAGAGGCTGATGGAATATTGACCTGGTGACTGCAGAGAGCCAGAGGGGAAGGAGGTGCTGTGAGGGTGGTGAAGCACTGGAACAGGCTGCCCAGAGAAACTGTGGATGCCCAACCCTGGAAGAGTTCAAGGCCAGGCTAAATGGAGCACTGAGTAACCTGGTCTAGTGGAAGCTGTCCCTTCCCATGGCAGATTGAACTGGATGATCTTTAAAGTCCCTTCCAACGCAAACCATTGTGTGATTCTCTGAGAATTTTCATCTCAAAAGGCAAAAAAGAAAACCTGGTCTCACAAAGCTAGGCTGTTTTTATTCAGCTCAGATTACTGCAGTTCAAATCATACAATTGCACAGATATCTGGTTTTCAGCAATAAAGACAAATTTGTTTTGCTCAGATGCATCCTCATCCCAACAGAAACCTCAGGGGTTATCAGTGATCCTGTTGCTTTCTTGCTATGGAGCAGAGGCTGCAGTTCTGCTTGTGAGCATGGAGAAGCACACAACAACTCACCTGTCCACAGACCTGTCCAGTGACTGGCAGCTCCCAGACAGCGAGTCATCAGGGCTGATGAAAGCTTCAAGCATCTGACGGAGAAAAGAAAGGGGAAACAATAAAACCATGCAGTGTAGCTCTCCAAGTTCCAGAACTAGCAGACCTCTGCAGGGTCATCCATTTATGATGCCTTCTCTGCATTACTGCTCTTTCTAACTGCTACTTGCTGGTAGGGAAACTGAAGCAAAGATCATCAGCACTCTGATGTTCAAAGCGTGCCGAGAAGTCAAGGAGATTCAAAGCGCTCAAAGCATTTGTGAGAAATGCTAATATTACTCCTAAAGGAAAATATGTATCAGGACACCAATGATGTGCCCAAGGCCAAGTGGATATTGTGTACCACAGCCAGGACTGCAGCCCTGGGCTCCTGACTTCCCGAGCTGCCCTGGCACACGAGTCCAGCCTTCCTCTCTGCTGATAAGCGCAGCATCATCAGGGTTTTTGGCTGGAAGAACGGGCTTGGCACTCACCAGCTCAGTGAGTCAAAAGCTGCATTTGTGTCGCTTCCTGGATGAGACATTGTACTGGCCAGGGTTATTTATAGCTGGTTATTAACAATAGAGGGTTTTGTATGGAGTGGTAAACCCGGAGCTGTGTGCACTTCCACGAGGAGCAGAGCCTGCTCTGGGCCACACTGTGCTGCTGGCAGCGCCACAGCAGTGCCATGCTCCCTCCTGGCTGTGGACATTCACTAACCCCTGCTCCACAGCTCACTGCTGGGAAAGCTGAGCAATGAGGGTTAAATGCCATGTGCAGCCACACTTTGCTGCTCCCCACATCGCTCCTCCTTCCCCACCAGGCTCCCTTTCCACAGGCTGCTCCCATCAGCCCTCTCCAGCCAGCTGTCAGCACAGCTCGTGCTGTTTTGGCCAGGCAGGCCCAGCTGCAAAGTGCAATTCTTCTCTGCTTCCTAGTTTTTACCCTAAAGCCTCCTTCAAAATGCACTAGGCCAAAGAGGAGCAAGCACTCTGACAGAAGCCACTCCCCACCTCTGCCAGCCATGCCAGGCCTCTTCCAGCACTTAAAGCTGAAACAGACTAATTTCTCAAAGGCATAAAACTGGGAATTGGAGCATGCTCCATATTCAGCCTCTGTTCATCTGCCAGGCTGGTCTCAAGACCACAGTTACATCACAGGCTTGCACAGGGACATTCCCCAAAAGGCAGCGAGCTCCAGCTCCTGAGTGGTCTTGCATGAGGCACATCTGGAAGCAGCAGTACAAGAACATTCTTAAGGCAAAGCCCATATAGGGAAAAGCATAGCTGCTCAATGAGGGAAGACAATAAACCCCAAACAATTCCCCAAATCCCTTTTCCCTCCTTTTACTTCTCCAGCAAAGGGCTGTGGGCCACCCACAGCGTGATGCTGGGGAAAAGCAAGGAGAGCATCTGGGAACCTTCATCCAGAGCAGGCTCAGGGCTCTGAATTAATGGAGCCCCACGAACAGCCAGTGGAGCTGGGCCGATTTACACCCAAGGGGGTCACAGGAACCCTCCCCCTGCACACACACACACTTTGTCTTAATCCTCCCCAACATGTTTTGGAGGCATGTGACAACAATAGAGAGCCAACTTTTGGCTGCAAGGAGCACACGATACATCTGCACTCTGATGCTGCCAAGACTCACCCGGAGTGACTTATTAATGGCTGTATAATAAACTGTTGAAAACACAACTTTGCCATGGAAACAGTGGCACAGCCAGCATGCAAATGTGGAGCTAGTGGGTGCTTTTGAGTGTAGGAAATACACATCTCCCCAGGAACATCCTTGGGGGCCAGCATAGCAGCCTGATGGATTGAGTTTAGTGCCTTCCAGATGTCCCTCCATGCCCCTCCTGCAAACTCTGGATCTTGGTCCTGCGTTTCCAAGAGCTTTGTAAGAATGACATGTGTTCAGACAGCCTAGCTGACTTCACAGGATCTATACAAAGCTCCTCAGAGCTATAGGCTGAGCAAAAATGCAAACAGAGAGGGAAGTATAAGCTGCTCCCACTGTGGTCCCTTGACACTGCAGAGTTTCCCTCACTGTGGGTACCAAATTGACTGGAAGATGAGGTACTGCTCAGCACTGAGGAATTTGCTGCTCTTCTATTACTGAGGCACTGGAATATACAATTTCCTTATTAAGAGAGTTTAAAAAAATATAAATGGGGGAGGGATAGAAACACAAAAGCACAGAGGCTTGGGCAGAGCCAAGAACTGTAAGTGGAGCTCAGGCAGAAACACCACATGGGAAGCAGCCAGAGCTGCTGATGTCCCCAGGCTGCTGCAACCGCTGGCAATCGGTTGCTTGGCACATTCCCTCATGGTCCTGGGATCTGGGAATGCTGTGGCCACAAGGGCCTGGCAGCTGGTGCACATGTGTGCCCCAGATCCCTGCTGCTCCAGAGCCACCTGAGGTGCCAGGGTACATCTGCCATTCCCACTGGCTCTCAGGGTTCCTGGAAATCAGACTTTCCCAGGCATGTCAAGCACGGGGGCACCCATTCCTGGAAAGAGCTGGCCTGAGCGCCAAGCACAGACACTGCCAGAATGCAGTGGTGGGAACAGCTCTCCCAGGGCAGCCTCCTCGCACCCAGCAGAGCTGTCCCCTCCCAGCCACGCCCCAGCCCCACTCACGTTCTGGTCCATGGTCTCGGGGATGAACTCGCCCTCGCTGTTGATGCTGGTGTAGGATCCCTGGCGGGCGATCTGCTGCTGCTCCTCGGGAACGCTGCCCGGCGGCGGAGAGCTGCGGCCGGTGTGCAGGGAGCCTGAGACAGGGACAGACACGGCTCAGGGGGGACCCACCACTCCAGATCCCTCCAGAAACGCTGTTCCAGTGATCACACAGGATCCGAAATCAAGCGACCCTCGACGGGAAAAATTGATGATGTCTGGCTCCAGATCAGGAGGCTGAAGGATAGCTTTATTAAAACTATACTATATTACATCAATATACTATTTAAACAGATACTATCCTATTCTACAGACTTACTTTTTAACTTACTATATCTAACTAACTCTAACAAACTATTTTTTTTAACTAACTCTAACAAAACTCCTGATTTTTTGTTGAGAGTCTGAAACACAGTTGGATCTGATTGCTTATTGAACTTAAATAACTTTTACTAGAATTTAATAAAGTAATCACTTCAGGTAAACAATCACCATACTAAATTCTACATGGAGTAAAGATTGTTTTCTCTTCTTCTCTTTGTGCTTCTCCTGAGAAACAAAATTATGTCTCTCTGTCCAGAGAATGTGAACGTCACAACAGAGCTCCTGGAGATGCTGCTGGGCTTGAATTCATGAGGATGGGAATGGAGTTAGAGGTGTGATGCTGTTTATGGGCATCCTGCAAAGCTTTAGCAACAGGGAGGGTTTGTTACTGTGGGACAGACTAGACCTCCAACACACCCTGGATCCTAAGAGCTGTCACTGTATCCAGGTGTGATGCTAGAAAGGAAAGAGCTCTGGGAGTTCTGCTGTGATACCATCAGTCAGTCTCAAAGCAAACCACAAACCCATCTCCTCTTCGACCTCTGGGGCAGGTCACTGCCTTGTCCAGGCATGTGGGAAACAGCCCAGCTTTGGTCAGTGCAACATCACTGCAACACTTGTTATATGGAAAAGAACTTGCACTCAAATACCCCTTTTCCCTACAAGAAAGAAAAGACAAAGGAAAACCAGCCCTCAAATCCAAAACCTCCAGGGCAGGAATGACCTATTGGATTCATTTGTCCCATTTTGGGCCAAGGGAATTGTCTCTCCTGTCTATAACCCCAGAGCCTCTATCCTGTGCATACGATGCACAGACAGCAAAGTTTCCACTGGATCCCTTACAGGGCTCATTTAGCAGAAGGTGATTTCCATTTTGCACCTGGGAGAGAACCCCACAGCTTCTTTATGAAGTTGTTACATTCCTTCTGTTTATTCCCCCAAATCCACTCTAACCTTGTGCCTTTTCCAGCCCTGGTCTGGCCCAGCTGCACAGCCTTGGCTCTGTTTGACTGCCTGCAGTCCCTCCCCTCCATCCCTGGGCTGTCACCACTCCATGGCAAGGAATTGCTGACAGAGATCCGTGTGATCCGTGCTGGAGCTTCAGCTGGCATCGTACAGTGTGAGCCTTCACACAACACAACAACTTGTTTTCATGCAGACTTCTGAAAAGCACACATCCTTGAGGAGATAGAAAGCACATGCAGAAGTGCAGAAGTGTTTCCTCACATTTTGTGTCACTCTTTTGTGGTTCATTCCCACCATTTGCTAACAACATGCCCAGGGCTGAGCACAAGAGAAGGGTACTGGGAGGGGGCCTATCCCATCATGGAAACTCAACACTGATCTATCAGCACAGCACTTCTGCCTCTTCTGCATGGCAGCTACTGTGCCAGATGGATCTCTGGAATAAATCCATCTGCATGATCAACACTACCAGCCCCAGTTCCCACCTTTCACTTAACCAGATACATATCAGGAGCTGTGCATGTTAACAGTGTCACACCAGGCCTTTTTGCTGGATTTACACCAAACACAGATTTGTCTGTCCCATGCTGCATCTTCTTTCTAACTCCTTGCTTAGACTTCAAAAATAAAAGTCATATGGCTTTGAGTTACTTTTTTTTTCTTCTTCCTATTTTCTCCTTCATAGATTTCCTGCAGGATAAGAACACAGTGAAAAAACTCCAACTGAAGTAATGCCAAGATCAAGAGGAGAGAAACTCTTGAGTGCTGCAGCACTCATAACGAACTGGCTTTCCACCAGCCCTAAAACAAAACCAGTTGGGAAGTACAGCATCCTCTCTTTGAAGATAAATAAATAAACTTTTAACTGTTGAGAAGTTCAGACACCCTGAATAAATCACTGCATCAGCAGCCCCTGCTTTGCTTAGCAGATGTCAATCTGGAATGCAGCACAAGGACATTTGGGTGGCTCTTGCCCCAAAAAGCTGCTGCAGGATTTAGTGAGGTGTAACTGCTGCATCTTAGCTCTGCTGAGCATTTCTGTTACTGCTGCAATGAGGTGTGGATCTGCTCATGCACTACTGCAATATCTTGCTCCAACAACCCACTTGCTATCCAGAAAACCTCTGGCTATGATTTTACAAAGATCTGTACATGGCCTGTTTGACTCTGAACCCAGGGAGTTAAACCAGATTTATCACAAGCACAAAGACTTCCCATGATCTCCCATTAAGCCTTTGCCTGCAGCAACTACTCCCAGCAACAGATCAGCTGTATTTGACCTTCCAGAGCCACATTTCCTGCCAAAAACTTTAAAAGGGGATAAGACACCAGCTATTTCCCAGCAGGTAAGGAAATTAAACAAAGTGCTTAGGCTTTTGCATGCTTGGAAAATGTGGAAGTGAAACAGATCCCTTTTCAGCCAGGCTGTTTGGGTAGAAATGCTGCCCAAAGTAATTTCTGCAGCTTCACACCTCCAGGAGCACTGGTTGCTGCTGCTTTGCATCCATGCCTGTTCTTCCACCTGGGAGAAACATGGGGAAGTGCTGGTAGCAGAACTCTGGAGCTCAGGGTTGATTCCTCACTCCAGCCCTATCCTGCTCTGTTAACAAAACCTCAGACAATCCCTGGAGGAGAGGAAGAATGGAAAACAAGGGACAGAGAAAGAGAGCAACAGTGGTTGGTACTTCATGGCAGGCTTAATTCATGGTGGGGAAACACATTGGATGTATTGGATAATGCTGATTAATCCATCCTGAGGCAGAGGAAGAAACAGACAGAAAAGCCCAGATGTGCCCATTTGACACACCACAGATGCTCTTCACACTTGACCTAATACTCAAGAAACATCAGCAGCACCAGGCAGGGAGAGGAGGCCCCCAGGGGACTGTCCTGGGGTCTGTGGGACAACATGTCAGCTCCAGTGGGGACAGGGTTGGCTGGGAGGCACTTCTGTACAGGTAGAGTGCTGGTCAGATCTCAGCAGCTCTGTTTGGGATTCCTGCACTCAGAGCTGGCCCTAGCTGAGCAGCTGACCTGAGTTACCCTCTGCAGAAAGGTGCTCTGGGGAGGGATTCCTGCTCCACGTTACACACACGAATGTAAAGCCATAGATTTGACTTGAGAGCACAGCATGTCCTCAGGACAGAGAACCAGGACAGCACGGAGACTCAGAGTCACTGCTGGCACCCACTGGGGCCTTTCATGTTCCCTTCTGATATTTTTATTTAAGAAGTGCCTTTCATGCAGTATGTGCAGAGCTCGTGGTGCTGCACGTACAGCCAGCTCCCCTGTGCCAGGCTTGGCTTCCCTCCGCCCCCGCATTCCCTGGCTTCATCTTCCCCTGCTCTTCCCAAAACTTCACCCACTACTGACCAGCATCCAGCAGGGGAGAGAAGCCCCTGCACAGACAGAGCTGGGGAGGGTTTGCTGGCAGCTGCCACCACTCACAGCTGCAGCCACAGGGAGCCCAGCCCTGGGATGACGTTCCTGAACAAGGGACACAACGTCAAGATGTGCTGCTCCTCTGAGCCCTGGCAGAAACACCAGGATCAGGACAGGGCTGCACGGGAGAAGGAGAGAAACCTGCTGGAAATTTCTCTCTCTGGGATTGTCACAGGGAGCTGTGAGCAGATGGATCAAATCTTCCTTAACTTCTTTTCCAGTGGGATCCCTACAAGCCTCCCTCCTCTCCTTGCTGATCCTTCTGAGCATGGATTTCTACATTTTGATTTGAGGCAAATTTAGGGTGCTTTTAAATTAATAAGCAAGACAGAACCTACTTTCTAGTTTTAAAGCAGCTGGCATGATGCACATAGATAAATTTTCCTCCTCTTCTCAAAACAGAGCAGGTGTCACCCATCCTAACTCCTGCAATACTCCTGGTCTGGAGAGAGCTGGCAGGCACATAAAACCATGGTTCAGCAGCCTGGCTTTTAATGAAAAAACAGTAAAATAAAACATCTAGTAAATGTTTCTATTGAAATGGTGATACTGGAATAGGTCTGTTAAATAATTTTTGGATACTGTTCTGAAACATGCATTTCTTCAAAGTAAATAAAAACAATCCTCGGCTATCTGAAAATCCAGAACCCAAAAAGTTTTATTTTTTCAGTCCAAGCTCCCCTGTACTTTTGCTGGCCACCAAAAAAAACTGGAAGGGGATTTCCACTGAAAAAGTTTATGGGAAAAAAAAAAAGAAGAAAATATTGACTTTGCATAAGGTTTTTCAGGGACACGGCATGAAGACATTTTCTGCCCAGCAGAAGCAAAAATAGCTAAATCTTCCCCAGAACATCTACCTCCCTTCCAATGTGCTTGTGCCAATTACATACAGTCTTATTATTTTCCACTGCTGTTTACATGGCAGAGTCAGCAGAAAAACATGAGACATCTCAGAAACATGGAGAACATGACCCTGAACTACCTTTTATTATAAATGCACTTTAAATCTCCTTTTATATGTGGTTTCAAGAGAAAAGCTGAACTGAATTAAGATCCTCTTTTGATAGCAAACACTTTGATGACAGCAGAAGGAAAACACTGTGAAATGCCCTGTGACTGGAAGGGAAGGAGAGTTTCTCCTACAGAATTCCCAGCCTCTTAGGATGCCTTTTGACTGTGCACCAAGTTCAGTGAAATCCCCACTGCAGGAAAACAAAACACAGCATCATGTCTGTCTGTCTGTTCCCTGACGCTGGGTTTTATGCTCCATTTGAGATGCTGCTCTGCCTTTCAGCTTGCTGGAGTTTCTGCCCAGCTGCTGGATTGCCCAGTTCTGACTCAGGAGGTCAAAAATGCATCTGCTGGATTGTGAGCCCCCCCTAAACAAAGCTGCAGCAGCTTCTTACAGACCCCAGATAACCCAAAGAGAGGAGCGACCTTCTGCTGTCATGCTGAGGGTTTGCTGAAACCTCTTGGCAAGAATGATGGCTTACATGGAAAAAGAAACAGATATGATTGATGCTTGGGCTGGTTACTTTTGCCACCTGACCACATAAAAGTGCCAAGAACTCAGAGTTGGGCACATTAGCACCTGAAAATCCCAACATTAGCACACTCTGCATCCCACAGCTGGTGCTGCCCAGTGCTCCTCCTCCGTTACCTGACTGAAGCAGCACATTATGTCCATTCCTCCACTCTGCTCTTCAAGCATTCCCTCAAAATCCATTTGTACCTCAGGTTCTCACCCTTGCAGAGCTGAAATCTCACCCTTTGTCATCCTTGCCTTGGCTCAGGGCATTCTTAAGGCAGTGACACCTCACAGTCAGTGGTGCAGAGCTGGTGAGGAACCAGCAGCTCCAAAACAGGAAGGACAGGCCAAAGCATGGCAATAAAAGTTGGTAGGAAAAGCTTAACTTTGCAAGAACCCATCTTCCCACTAGCAAAGCTACACATGGAATCAATCCTGCCCATCCTGCTCAGGCTCACACATCAGTGACAGCTCCCAGTGCCACAGCTCTTTAACAGCCTAACATGTACAAAAAAAAAAAAAAAAAAAAAAAAAAAAAAAAAAAAAAGAAGGCAGCAGAGAAGTTTTAGTTTTGCTCAAGCATTTTCTGCTGAGACTCTGCTTTATGTGTGCATTTCATTCAGGATCATCTAGTGACTCTGCCAAGCTCTCAGAAACCATTGGACTAGGGAAAAAAGGAAAAAGACAAGCCTGGTACATCCAAACACCAGGCTCAAGGAGAGCCCTTGCACATGTGCCATCCACCCCTGGCATCAATGAGAGCTGGGCATGGCCTAGAAGAACATTTTCTATACATCTTGTCTGAGATGCAGCAAAGCACAGGATATGTTATCAGCACAAGCTATGAAACAGACAAGGGACAAGTCCTTGGAGAAAAACACTCATTTGTTGCACAGAGAAGAGTTTGGAAGTATTTACTGCCATATAAGTACAGAGGATCCTTAGAGGATTAAGTATTTCTCCATGTGTATTTCTGAAGAAGGGCCCCACTTTATTCAAGGCTGTCAGTTCTACAGCTGGCAAGTACTGGCATGAAAATGAAAAAGATCTGTAGAAATTACCCTATAACCTGCACCCACAGACACAGCAGAGAACACTCCCTGTGTGAAAAAAGTAATTCATCCTGCCTGCAGGCTGGAATATGAATAATTACACTCCTGCTATACTGCTTTACCAGCTCTGCACAAAGGCACCCTGCTCTCTACAAAATCCTCTGAAGTTCTTAATGCAAAAGCTCCTACAGACAGCTGACCAACAGGATTTCAAAAAGCTCAGAGAATTTTAGAAAGCAAGGAAAGCATAAACTCAAGCTCAGAAAACTAAATGGAAAACAACACAAGGCTACAAACCAACTCTAGTCCCTGCAGGGCTGCAAGAGCAGATCAGGAGTTTGCCAGCCTGGTTTCAGGGGTTGCAGGTACCTACTTCCAGCATCTCTGAAGGAAAGGGATGCTCCCCTTCCTCTGCAATGTCACCACTGCACACACACCCCTGAGAAATCCCAGAATCAGCTACCACAGGTGTAATTTCATCCACAAAAACAGACTGGTGGCAGACAGACTCTTATTTGATCTTTACGTGGTAAAGCTGGCCCCAGACCAGGAGCTAAGGAGCCTGAGCCCACTCAGCTACATTATCCTGCCACCTGAGAAAGGGGGACAGGTACTCAGAGAACAACAGCACACACTTAAAGGAATAACCAAAAGTCTCAAACAGCTTTGGCTTTCTACAGATTATCACTCTTCACTTTGATAAGCCTCAGTGGAATCAAATTAACTGGAAATTTTTATCACAGCATTTCCCGCCCCCAAATTACACCCAGGCTCCCCATTCTCTTCATTTCTGTGCTCAAAGTGACTGCTCAGCACAGCCTCGCCCAACCTGCAGAGCCTCTCTTCCTCAGCCTGAGGATGAGCAGCACTGAGTCACTCTGGGGGACAGCAGGGTGGCCATCCAGACTGCAACACCCACGGGGTTGTGACAACAAAGGAGGGAGAGGCTGGTGGCCAGGTTGAAATGGCACAGAACAGCACACAGGGTTGTGTTTCACTGACCTGTGGAATACTTGCGCGTCCTCTCGGAGTCTTTGTACAGGGATCCCATGATATCACCCATGGATCTGGAGATCCTCATCTCATGCTGCTTGCTGTTGTTGGGCTGCAGGAGCTGGTAATCAGACAAAGGGAATGATCAGAACTGGCCAGAGCCCTGTGGACACACCATGTGAAACCCTGTATTTGGCTCCCCATGACCCTATTACCCAAGAACTATTAAAAAAAAAAAAAAGAGAGAGAAAGAAAGGAGACATGCACGTAATCTAGAGTGATCCAAAAACCATTCACAAACAACTCACATCTGCTAATAAAACAGTCTAATAAGATAAAGCTCTCACAGATAATGGCAAATACAGATATTTGACATAAAAGACTATTCCTGCACTCTGTTATCTCCAGATAGGTGCAGAGACTGATCACTGGACTGAAAACACTTGCAATCCCAAAATCAGCACCCCTCTGTGCCCCCTAGACTCCAGTGGCAGCTGAGGCATTGCACAGGTTCCTCTGCAACAGGGCAGAGGAACAGAGAGGGGAATGTCAAGGAAGACAGGTAAGAGAAGAGCAAAGAAAAGCATAGCCAGCTGGTAACCTGGTAGTGGCCAGGTTTTACTAAGATTCTAAGACCACATGTTACAGTGCACAGTGATTTTATGAAATAATTTTCTGTATGACCTCAGAACTGTGTGCTCTCACACACAGGACCATGGCCACATGTTTCAGGAAGAAATGGAGCTGCTCTCAAAGGCAGGCAGGAATCCACCTGGCTCCTCTGCTCTCAGCAGCTGACTTGCAGTACTGCTGTGCTCCCACAAATTGCCCCCCTTCCACCCAGGGTTTAGGAAACCCCAACTCAAGGCTCAGTTTCCCCTGGGACTCTGCTCCCTGCACTTCCCAAGCCTCTCAAAAGGAGTGGAGAAGCTCCAAGGGCTGTGAGCACCCGCAGTAGAATGGGGATAAGTGAGTTTCAAGACTCCCAGTCTCTCCAGTACTTCTAGGAAATAAAAAGACGAAACAAGAGTTGCAACATCTACAAATCCCTTGCTTTACAGCCCGTGCTCGGGGCAGCACGACATGTGCTTTGGCAAGACACTCTGTGCAAGCGAGGTCAAGCTAACAGGCTTAACTGCAAAACCACCGAGCTCAGGAAAAACTAATAAATAAATAAAGATGGAAAAAACCCAGACATATCTGCATGAGACCGAAGGATTCTCCAGTTTGCTCTTCCCAGCCTTTAGCACTGCTGCAGCACGTGGAGGGAACAGCCCCCACGCTGCCACCCAGCATGGCAAGGGCCAGGGCATTGCCCTGAATACAGAGGGGAGGTGAAAAGGAATGGTGGCAGCATCTCTAGGAAAGAAAGCACAAGGAGTCCTCTCAGTGTTTAACCTTGTTTGAGGGTCAGCCTGGTATTTAACCCCTCACAGGATGCAGGAGCCAGAGGGAGCTGAGCTCAGCCTCTGGGCTACTATCACAGGAAGATTTCTGAGCAGCTGAGCCAGAGCAGGGCTGACCTCCCTCATAACCAGCCTGCCCTCTGCTCTACACCATCAGGAGACTCTTTTCCACTCCCCAACACAATAACAAGCCGGACACAAAAGAGCAGAGAAGGTGAAGGGCTCACATTCGCTTTCTTTGGAGCGCTCACAAGGATCCGCAGGCTCTTCAGGGAAGGGCTCAGCTCCAACTGTTCCATGGCTTTGTCCAAATCTTCCTGGGATTTCAGTGGGATCAGGAGCTGGAAGGGATTAAACAAGCACCAGAGGATGGCAATGTCACACTTTTGGGTAAACAGGAGCCAGATTGTTCCAGGGAGCAGCTTGGGAACCAGGGGATGAGGGAGGAACCCAAGGAATCAATGGAAAACGGGGCCCCCGTGCCCTCCAGCTCTAATATTTTCTTCCAAGACCTCATTTACCGAGGAACAGATGCAAAAAAAAGTCACAACAAACAACATCTGCAAGGAGAAAGCTTAAAGGTCACACCAGCAATCCAGCTAGTGGGAAAAGGAGAGGGCTGGGATAAACCCAGCGGGTTTGCTGCCCGCTACTCTGGGGCTGCTCTGATTCTGCAGGCAGGACCTGCTGCTACCCAAAATAACCCCACACTTCTTGCTGGGTTGATGGTCATGCAGTGGTGCTCCAAGACACCAGTGAGTTGCACCCAAGGATTAACTCTGGCAGATGCTTTGTGCCCTTCCCTACTGCTGCAGCCGGTGTTCCTGCACACTGTCACAGCTCCCTAGTGCCTGGCCATCAGGTGAAACCCGGGAACATCCCACAAATAAAAGTATTGTCCCTTCTGATGTGAAAAGTGTGCATTGCTCTCCTTCCAAGAACCACTTCTTTCAATCTCAGCAGAACAAATTCAGCTTCTGCTCTTTATAAGAACAGAGAACTACACAGTACCCTGTCTGTCAGGCAGCAAAAAATCCTGATGCTTTCCTGGGAAATGGCAGACTATTGCCCTCACACCTCCACGGGGAATTTGACCCTCCCAACCTTGCTGTGTGGTGTACCATGTCCTGCAGACAGCCTGCAAAGCCTCCAACGCCAGACACAGCTGCACTTCAGAGGAGCTCTGTGGCCTTCTGCCACCCCGGGCTAAGATTAAAAGCACAACTTCTTGCCCCTCATTCCGGGATATTCTGCCTAATCTCATACCAAACAGGCCCCAGCCTCTGCAGGTTGCCTCGGGCACCGAATCCGGCCAACACAGCACATGTTATTCTCATGCCTGTGCCAAAGTACACTGTAACTCCACTGACCAAAGGCACCGAGCAGCCACAGCTCCCAGCAGGCTCTCCCTGGGAGCCACAGCTTCCCAGAACTCCTGAAAGGTGGCTCAGCCCTCTGGGTGATCAGAGCTCCTGCCACCAGCCACAGCAAACCCACCTTGGAGCAGCTGCCACACAAGGTGATGCTCACAAGCCAACTGGGACAACCTTTTTGATCCCAGGGTGTTGCCAAGGGTTTGGCTGCTGGCCTGTAGGCAAACACACCTCAGGCTGTGTGCTCCTGACCTTGTGGCCAAGAAGGCCAGTGATATCCTGGGCTGCACTGGGAGCACGTGCAGCAGGTCAGGGAAGGGATGCTGCCCCTCTGCCCAGCCCTGTGAGCCACAGCTGGAGTGTTGTGCCCAGCTCTGGCTCAGGAGACACAGGGAGCTCCTGCAGCAGAGCCAGCAGAGGCTACAGGGAAGATGAAGGGATTGGAGCAGCTGCCTCATGAGGGAAGGCTGAAGGAGCTGGAGCTGCTCAGGCTCAAGAGGAGATGCTGAGAGGGGACCCCATCCCTGTCTGTGCCTGTCTGCAGGAAGGGCTCAGAGCAGGGACCAAGCCCTGCTCTGTGGGGTCCAGCAATGGCACAGGAGGAATGGGCAGGAATGATCCCAGGAAGTTCCCCCCAGACATGAGGCAGAACTTCTCTGTGCAGTGACTGAGCTCTCAGGATTATCCAGAGAGGCTGTGGAGTCTCCCTTACCGGGGATATTCCAGAACCATCTGGACACAGTCCTGTGCTTCTCTCTCTTCTTGACCCTGCTTAAGAAGGGAGGTTGGACCGGATTACTCTCTGTGGTGCCTTCCAACCTGACTCATTCTGTGATCCTGTGATTTCCTCTCATCCTATCTGAGTGAACAACCTGTATTCCCCATAGACATCAGACAAAGATGGTACTGAGTATGTCTCCTAAATGCAGTGCTCAGCCTGCTCCCTTAAGCAGTAGAGGTGGAGAGATTCCCCTGGGACACTGCTTAACCCTTTTGAGGTTAACAAAGGCTCTGCCTCAAGCAGACAAAGCTCCTCCTCTACACACCCCCAGAGAGAATTGACAATGGTGGAGAGCTGCTCTCCCTAGTTTCACCACCAAGCAGAATCTGAGTCTCAACTCTAAGCTCAACCCCACTGCTCACCCATCCCTTCACTGAGCTCTTGACAAGTGTTCAGAGCAATCCCCCAGCTGCTGCTCTGAACAGAATGTTCTGTAGGTCATTCCATCTCTCTCCAACATCACAACATGAACATGTTTGCATGCCTCCTTCAGAGGAGCCAAAAACATCAGGGAGAAATTGCCCTCTTGTAAAAGGGACTGGAGCCAGTATTTAGCTTGGCTTTACCTATTACCCACATCTGGCAAGAAAATGCTGCTCCATTTGGCTGCCAGACTGTGGCACATATGATTATCAAGAACAGGTATCTGCTAGACATGAAACTCAAAACAGACTCATGCAAAACCCTGGAATTAATTGCCAGGGTGGATTTCCAGAAACTGGGTTTATTTCATCTAAAGACTGAGTAGCTGTGATTAACAGCAAAGTTTACCTACACAGAAGTTGCACAAACAGAGCTTATTGGATTTTTTTTCCTTGCTTTTAAATAGTATCCTCCCCTGGAGCCTGATGTTTTAGTGGGGGAATTGATGGTCTCTCTGCAGGTTGAAAAAGTGAGGGCAAAGGGTGAGGTTTCACCAACTACAGCAGCTCTGTCAGACCTCACTCTGTAAGACACTGCAGAAAGCCAAAGAATTGTAGGAAACAGGGTTGGGGAAAAATCGGAGAGGTCAATTAGTTCATCTTCCTGCCCAATGCAGGACCAACTGGCATCAACAATTCTCGACAAATGTTTGTTAGATTTGCTTTTATCTCCTCCCTCCCCCTCCATAATGGTGCCTCTGCCATTTCCCCAGGCTTTAACTCTCCCTCAGCTCCCAGAATGATGCTGAGGGGCAGCCTTGGAGGAGACAGCAGCAGGTCAGAAGGGAAGCTGTGGCACATGGAGGTTCAGTGAACTTCTGCCCAAGGTCACATCACAAGCTGGTGTCTGTGCTGCCCTGGCCAGGCTGAGCTTTGCTGTCCCACTCCTCAGAAAGATGAGTCCAGCCTAGAACTAACACAGACATGCCCCATGGGGGACACCCATGGCACGGCCCTGCTCTTATCTACACCAGCCCCAGGCTGCTGATTCCATGGTCCCACCAGGATGTGATTCATGTGTGCCCCTGCTCCACCCAGCTGGCATGCTCATCTCACTGATCCTGCCTTCAGGACGCCTCCTCCACCAGGACAGGGGCTGCCACTCAGTGAGATTTTACAGGGCCTGCTGACCTCAGTCTATATTTGGTCTACAAGGTGCCACTGCAAGAGAGGTGTCTGATGGCAGCGAAGAATTACTGCACAGCTCCCCTGGGGCATAAAGACAGGGTGAAATATTTAACTGCAATGACTCTGTGGCCATGTCCCCTCTGAAACTTGCAGTCACAACACCCAAAACCCTGACCCAGGAGCCAGATGCTGCAGTGTCACCACATGTGTGTGCAGGCTATGACCCCAAAGATTCCTCTTGTCTGTTTATAGCGTTTCCAGAACAACAACCCTGAATTACTGCTCTTCAGACATCTTCCCAAAGCTGTGGGTTCTCACAAAGTGGAACTTTTAAGTGTAGGAAAAACAAAGCACTGGCCTAAGAAATCAGGAGTACCCAAAGGCCTGCTCATGGCCCTGCTATGTGCTGTGCACATGCCCAGAAAGACAGTCTCTAACATGGGATAAAATGAATTATTTAAGCTTCTGTTTGCTGTTGTTGGAAATAAATCCTCTTCCAGTGGGAAGAAACCTGGAATGAAATGAGTCATTCCTGGAGAATTCAATGGCAGGCTTTTCCCAAGAGGGCTGTCAAAGAATGCCCAAGATTAGAAACCTGACTGCATTCAAAGACAAAACCCAGTGGACACTTTGGTATCATGAGGTACCTATTGTAAAAGAATAGGAACTTTCTTTGTGGAGCAAATCTCTATTGAAACAGAAGGGAGAAAATAATAAATGGGGGGAAAAAATAGAAGAAAGGTCTCTTCAGGACCTCTCTCTCCATTCATACTTTAATCAAAGGCTGCAGGTCATCTGCAATTAATACTTGAACAAGCCACCTATCAGGACAGATCCAAAAGGATCTGTGTTTCAAAGCCCACCTCTTTACCATTTGGCTCTCTCCTCCTTCCCAAAGCCAAACCCACCCTGAGAGTCCAGTGGCTGCAGATGCCTCACAAGAAAACACCAAAAGAGATGCCAAGGATTTCCCCCTTCTGCTAACAGCCCTGAGCAGGACCCTCCTTTCACACACAGTACTGGGCTCAAAAGTGGGAAAACCACAGAGGCCAATGTGATGAATGATGGAGGAGAAAGACCTCCTAGCCCTAAAATGCAAGGATTGCAGAGGGAGGTTTTCTTGGCTGCTTTTATGTGGCCACAGGGGCTGCTGGAGGAACATTCAGTGATGCACATTTCACTGCAGACCCAGCCACAAGAACGTGCAGGTCGTGCTGGGGGTTTGGATGAGACAAAGTCAGTGCTAGATAAAAGAACACTGTGTGAGCACCACTGTCCCTCCTGCTCTGCACTTCACGCTCCTGCAACTGCCCCCGAGGTGGGAAGACTTCACATCCCGATGGAGTGAGGGGGATCTTTTGTTCTGGGGAAAAGACAACGTTCCTGTGTAACAGGCTTTACTTGAAATAATTTTGACAAAGGAAAATCCTGGCTTGGAGGCTGAGAATCCATCTGAGCTGTGTCAGGACAACAGCCCTTATGCATTCACTAGGTGGGAACCATAAAATAAGGTTGTTTTTCTTCACATCCAAGTAAAACACAAAATCAGGGCCTTCAGAACAAGCCACTGCTCAATTCTGAAGTTGGCAGCAGGCAGCCCAAAGCTGCCCCTCAGCAGTGAGGAGAAGAGTACCTCATTGTTCACACAGACCAAGTCCATCGTCTGCCCAAAAGCGTCCGTGACCTTCTGCACCACTTCCTTGAATTTGACTGGTCTTGGAAACTGGATAATCCTGTGTACACAAACAAACACAACAACAGTCTCAGTTTAGCAGGAGCATACTGGAATTTGGGATTTGACTGACAGTACAGAAAAAAGGACTTGTATTCCATCACAAAGCTCCTTGCCTTTACACTCACAGAAATGCTGCTCCTCTGCTGTGCCCAAGAGGGGACTTGACTACCCTGCAAAAATATCTACCAAAAATCTTTGTGCAGCTCCTCTGCTCCTCCCTCCAGTGTGAGTACAGGTGGAAAAAAAGGAAGTCCAGCAGCCCTCCACTGGAGAAAGCCCAGATCAGGAAATGGTCAGTGATGTATTATCACAGTTTTCAGCAAGAGGCTCTGAACAGGGAGGAGGGCTGAAATGGGGATGATGCAGTTTGGCATCCTGTGACTCTCCTGTAGCATCACACACAGCACCTCTAGAGGTACTTACAGCAGGTACAGTCTAACCCTAAAATAACACTACTTAAATTTTCTTTGGCTTTAACATGCACCTTGGACCATCAGCCTGTGCCCTGCCCTGTCACAGTCACCAAGCAGAGGTGATTCCATGAAAATGTCAAGCAGGGAAGGGCGGACAAGCTTTAACTCCCAGCCCTATTTTTATGGGACCCATGCCCAAAATCTGGTTATCTTAAGTAAGTGTCATGGACTGCTAATCAAAGGACACATTTCTGTAGAGTTCCAGCTCCACTGTGGTTCAGCAGGGCTCAAGAATTAACAAGAGAAAAGGATCCCAGTGTGCACCCAATGTCCCTGGTAAAAAAGGCATTTAATGACTTCCAGCTTGGAACCATTTTCCCTGCGTGCAAATCCCAGGAGCTTCTTGTGGCAAATGGGATAATGAGGCAGGGATCTTGTATATAAAAGTGCAGCTGATTTTAGGGGAATTAATTCTGCTGTGAGCTCAGCTGCAGCTGGCTGAAGTCAGCAGGACAGTGTTGGGTGGAAAAGGTAATTTGTTTCTGTATTCACAGGGGACGGAAGTAGGTACCTACCTTTTCTCTCCTTCATACTCAAACTTGATCCTGACACTTCGCTGCTGAAAGAAAAAGCAAAGAATGGTGAGGTCCCAAACTGCATCCTGGATTGACCCATAGACCCAAAGCTAACAGGAGTTCTCAGGGAGACTCTCCTAACTCTGTAAGGCATCTGGTTTATTTAAGCCAAGCTGCCTGGTGGACTTGCAGCCTTTGGGGACACGCCACATTGCTGAGGAATGTGCTTGTCAAAACGTAAGTTCTTCTGTAAGCAAGAAAACACTCACCTCTATAACTGTTAGTTTTAACAAAATTAATTCATAAAGCTGAAAATTGTTCTGAACTCTTGGGAGCAAGGCACTATTATCAAAGAGGCCAATATGGCAAATGTCTGATGCCTGTCCACCTTCAGTGCTTCCCATGATTTCACCCCAGTACATTTCTGTTGGAAATCCAAAAACCCAAGCTCAGAGGATGTTGACTAGAACACAGGAATATTTGGGGTGAAGAATTAAGAAATAAAAGCAAGCATTCTCTAATGGAAGTGGAGACAGTCTAAAATTTTAAAGCCAACAGTGCTAGGCTGGTTGAAGGGCTGGTTGCTATTTTGTTAGGACCTACAGAATGCCAAGTGTATCAGGCCCAATACACAATGCACAGCAAATGTCCACCCTGAACTGACCCATTGCTCACCTCAAGAGAAACCACAAAATTTGCTCAAAGAAGAGCCAGCGGAATCACAGGCACACAGCTGTGCAAGGACCAGTAAAAACCACTTCTCCCATCAGAGGATGGGAGATATTTGTGCACATTTAGCAGCAATCAAGACCACAAGGAGCTTTTTCATTCCTTCAGCTTCTCAGGCCAAGCCTGAGCCAAGCATCCTTCTGGCATCCCTCAGATCATTCCAGGACTTTCCTATGGTCTCCAACGCAGATCAAAACCCTCTTTAGTCCTCAGACCAGGTCTAGTCACCCCACTTAACCAGCATTTTCCTCCCCACAGTCCCACCAGCCTCCTCAAACAGCTCTCTTCCCATGCAGAGAGAAGTGCTGGCCGCCTCCCTCCGAGGTGTAACCCCGGGGAGGGCTCGGTCCCACGCCGCCGGCGTCTCGCAGGGATAACTCCCAGCTGGGTGGGTGACAGCCCTTCCTGAGCACAGGACTTATCTCTGGGCCTGGGCTGCCAGCATGTGAAGGCACACTTTCCATCCTCTCAGAGGGAAAGCAGAGCTGCAGTGAAACAGCTTTGTTCCTAACGAGAAAAACGAGCTGGACCGGCGCCCTCGGGTTTGCTTTTCAACCGAGCTCCCCAAGTTCTGCAAACACCCACCGAAATTCAGGAAGTCAAGGCTGGAGGCAGTTCTGTTGAAAAGCTTAAACAGATTCAGGGTAAACACGGTGCATCACCCAAAATGCATCCTTGTTATCTCTGCTCGTGGCATTTTCTGTGTTTCCGGAAGGGCTGGGAAGAAACAGTGCTGGGACAGTCACCAAGTGGGGCACTCCAGCAGTGATACAGGCCTGTGCTAAACAGGCACTTACATCACCTCGGTGGCTAAAGCCAGTTCTCCAGACCCACAAAGTCTGGAGAGTCTCCAGGTTCATTTCCAGAACCAGGCCCAACTTGTAAAAATACCAGATTAATTCTAAACCGGTCCAAAATTCCAAAGGAGAAGAGACAACCAGAGCCGACCTAGTGCTGGAGGTTCAAATCATTCTGGAGAGACAGGCAAATACAGGTGGAATTGCCACCTTGGGTTATCTGTGCTGGAAAATAAATGATACAGGCTCTTTCATGCCAATTTTTATTTGCACATGCCTCTCTGAGCAGGCCTGACTGCTTTATTCCTCCTGGATGCTGGCAATAAATTGGCCAGTGTGGGTTCACTGACTGTAACACCACAAAACCTTTCTCTAAAGAAAAAGAAGGAAAAACAATCAGGGCAAGGAACTTTCGAGGTTTCTCCTTACAAAGGAGCAGGACATGGAAGGGGAAGAGCTCACACAGCTCTGGCCTCCCTGCAGGAAACCTTTCAAAACACAGGTTTCACTTTCAGCACAGCCCCGAACCTTGCACTGAGCTGGGACATAGCACACGCTGCCTGGTTGTGCTGAGCAGCACAAATTTCACAGACAAACAAGTTTTGAAAAACAGTTTGTGGCTGGAAAATGTCAGAACACTTGTCTAAAGCTCCAGAGAGAGAAGAAAATGAAAAAAAAAAAAAACGGGCCACGACCCCGCTGCATCCTTTTCTTCTACATCAACAACAAAGCTGATGTGCCATGGCCCGATGCCAGCAGAAGGACGCCAGCTGCCCCACACTGCTCTGCTTCTGAGAAGAGCTACAAACACATTGGCTGCAACAGGGAAATGAAAACCCACTTCATTTCTTAATTAGATAACATTTTTCTTTAATACAAAACACACTAACCTCTTGCCTCCCTCCAAGAAACCAAGACCTTTAGCTTGCAAGCATTTGGAAGAGGGATAAATTCATATTTATCAGTCTGAGAAGTTGATTACAGTTTAATTTTTCAGGCTTCCCTTGGCTTACTCATGTTTTTGACCCACAGCTCCAGCTGAATTCATCACTGCTATCAGCAACAAATACTTTTTTCCTTTTTTGAAGAGAAAAAAAAAAAGAGTGGGCAGTGCCCAAAGTACTAGGAAATCTCAGGGGATGCAAAGCACTTCCTAAATGCTGGAGCAGGCTGTGATTTTTTACACCCATGGAAGTCTGGTTTGCAGCAACTGGTTTAAGATTACACAGGGAGCCTGGGGCATTGCCAAGTGCCTGAGCAGAACCTCATGTGTCTGCACCCAGCATCTCAAATGAACAATATCAGGGGGAATGCAGGGCCAGCACCTTCCCCATCAGGAACTCAACACAGTGTCCAAACACTGAGGTGGAAGAGGTGTGGGTGGTGAAGGCTGCTGGGTCTTACTCACTTTTACAATTTTGTGAGGAATGTGACTCCCCTTGCCCAACCCAGGTTGTACTAGTCACTGTCCCTGCCATCAGGTGTCACATGAGATCAAGGGCAGCCCTGTTCTCCTTCAATCAAGAGGTCCTTAGTGGGTGTAGGAGAACAAGCTGAGACATCCAAAGCCTTGTGCCAAATACAGTGCAGGAGAGGGGTAAGGACAGCCACGGGCACCAACCTTAAACCCTGAGCTCTGGCAGAGCATTTAAACAATATTTTTATCAGCACCGTGAGAGCTCAGGCAGGGAATGGAGCAAGCAGGGGAATCTGAGGCACGAAGGCAGGAAGGGTTTTGGTTAAGGGTATGAAGAGAAAGATGAAGAGAAAGCCCAGCCTGAGGAGGAGGAGGCTCCATGGAGACCTTCTTGCAATACTGCAATATATAAAAGGGGTTTTATAAGATGGAGAGAGACTTTTTACCAGGATGAGGGCAAGTTTTCAACAGCAAGAGGCTAGACTGAGGCTGGATATAAGGAGGACATTTTCTACCATTGGGTTGCTGAGGCACTGGAACAGGTTGCCCAGAAAAGCTGTGGATGCTCCATCCCTGGACATGTTCAAGGCCAGGCTGGATTGAGCAACCTGGTCTAGTGACATGTCCCTGCCCACAGCAGACAGTCTGGCCTTTAAAACCCTCCCCAGCTCAAACCATTGTGTGATTCACTCTCTGAAGCAGCAGAAGGGTGGTGGAGAGAGCACAGAGTGAAGGTGTTTGGTCTCCTGGGCTGTGTGCACTGAGTTTTCCCTCTCCGCGTGCGTTTCCGTGCGGGGCATGGCGGAGCCCGCGGCCCGGCTGGCGCCTGCAGACCCTGCTGCGACACAAACAAACCCAGCAACAGCCCTGACAGGAAATACCACAGTCATTCCCTTCGTTTCTACAATAATTTCTTCTCCAAAATACTTGTACCGGCATTTCCTCCAGCCCCACAAACAAATGGTATTTTACTCGTTCTTGCCATATTCCTCCGAAAGGAAAAAGCAAAGCTGCTGCTGTGGACACAAACCCATCACCATCTTTCCAGGCTTTCCTTGAGGTATTTTTGGCTCTTTCCTAAAAACTTTGGATTTCACAGAGAAAAGACCATAACTGCCAAGCATCAGAGAGGGAATTCAGATGTGAATTTGGGGAGAAAAGGGGCAACTGCTCTTGCCTTTTGGCTAGCGTCCATGTACCCCGGCAGGCTTGGCCAAGCTTGGCCCTCAGAGCTGGAGCAACAGCCCTGTGTGCTGGTTTAGATTAAGGAAAACGTTGGAAAAAAACAGAAAAAGTGTTTCCAAACGAGGTGAATCATGATCTTATACAGAGATCCCTGAAGAGCTGACTGCTGTTTGTAATAAAAGCACACACGGAGAGCAGGAAAACAAGCAGTTAGTCCTAAAATGGAAGCGGCTCTGGAGGAGCAGAAGATGCTGAGCACCCTCGCTGCTGAACAGCCAGGGGGTTGCTTAAATTGGGGTACAGGTCCAAGCTGAGCCTGTGGAGAAAGCTGTCTAATGGCAGAGGCAGTCAGGGGAGCCAGCCCTGCACCTCCATGCCTCTCAGCATTGCTGAAACAACTAAAACTGCCACTCTGGAAAATCCCAGACTAGCACAAATTCAAACATTCCCCCCATCATGTCCACTCCTCCTCCTAAAGTCTGTTGCCATCAGAAACTGTGCTCTGTCCAGACCCCACTTCTGTGGCTTGCTTTAGATCTGCTCCTGTCAAATCTAACCAGAGGACAGCTTTACCCATGACGAAACATCACAAGGATGGGGCCTTTAAAGCACTTCTTCCACCCAAATCCACAGCTGCATCCCAAACCAACTGGGACAAAGCCTCTGACATCTGCATTAACCCTTCCGTGTCAAGAAAGGCAGGAAAAATCATCACAAGGGGCCTCCTATTCCCTTTGGTGCTGCTCATTCCAGCCTTGCTCATATCGACCCACAAGATTTTAGGCACTTATTTTGCCTCAGTTTCCCCTCTGGGTAACACATGGGCAATGAAACTCACTCACTTTTGCACACCACAGGATAATCAGAGGGATTGTTTTTACTTCTCTCATTTTTCTACTCACTGGATTAGGAACCGACGAGAAAACCCCGCGGAGCCGCGCTCGAGTCACTCCCTTCGCGCAAAGCCGCAAAGCGGTGGGATTCCTCCTCAACTCCTGGCTCTGGCTAAGAGGAATCAGCACCACAGGGCCAGGCTGAGGGGACTCCAACACTTCCCCACGGTGCAGGTGGTTTGCATCAGCCCCTGCCCTCAGCAGCGGGACGTTCCCCACACGCCAGACAGCTGGAGCACGGCCCCAGACCGCGAGAGGAGATGACGAATGCACGTCACTGGGAATTATCTGCACAGAACCCCCACGCACGCCGGGTTATTCAGCCATCAGACAGAAAAGAGTTTGTCTGGCATTGCCCCTTTGTCATCGCAGGGGCAGAAAGCACAATATATCCCAGTCCCTCCGGATCCTTGCAGCTTTTTTTTCCGCTGAAAGCACCTGAGCAGCTCAGAGGACAGTGGAAAGATGATGTGTAGAAGGGTCACTGCTTCCTGTTACAGACATTTCTGTTTCAGACAGCGGTAGAAATCACAGGCTTCAAAATGTTTATCTAAAACCACCCACCTGGCAGGGAATAGCTTTTCTCCAGCTGGATTTCTCACTGGTATCACCCTCTTTGCACCCAAGTCAGCTCCACACACAGACATGGGGAAGCCTCTTAAACCCCTGGGACTCCACTGCCTCTGCCATCTCCAGCCAAGGCTTTCCCAGTCAGTCATTTGCCCCCTTGTTTCTGCTCCCCAGGTGGGGAAATCCCTGCAGATCCCCTCAGGGAGACTCCCATCTTCCCCCACCCACACCATATCCTCCAGGTGATAAAGCCAAACTCCTTTTTAGGCTGCTCAAAGACCTACAGAGAGCCCTACAAAATGAGCTGTATTTTACTGGAGTTGCAAGCAAGCCTTGCCTTGCATCCAGCTTGCCAAAGAGAAGAGTCCAGAGATAATTTACTAAAAGAACGACTTTTAGGACAGTCTCACATTTGATGCACATGAAGAAACATTTCCTACAAACATTTAATTGCCGTGGGAGAATTTGCCATCGTGATTAAGGTGGCAGAGGAACTGCTGGCTGTCACTGGCTGTGACAGAGGCCCACTGACAAGCAACTTCATACTGCCAGTTGCCAAGTGCTATTTATAGAAATGAATGGATGTGCACATAAATAGATAGAAAATAAATGCTAATTTAATTGCTCTTTTCTCCCTCCATCCTTTTGTTCAGGGTTTCCTAATTATTCGGGGTTTCCCTTCTTATTCCACTCATCTTTTTCCTTAATGAACACAACGCAGATCTTCATTCTCCTTCTCCTTCTTCCCCTCTTCAGAGACATTTCTATGAACAAACTCCCTTGCTCAATCCAAGGGATAGCCTGAAAAGGCTCTTTTCAGCCATGCCAGAGGATGCACAAGGAAAAAACAGAGTGATTAAAGGAGTAACAGAGGAATACCAGTGCAGAAGCTGCACTAGGAATAATGTCAGAACAATCCCTCTGCTCCCAAAGAACAGCTCTGCTTTACCTCACATGAGGAAGAAAAGGGTGTCCATGTCTGTCCCCATACTTCCCACAAGGCAGAGAGGCAGGACAGTGGAGTGGCTGCCACACCTGACCAAGACTCAGGAGATTCCAGCACAGCCATCACATCTGCTGCCAGCTGCCTGGGCAATTCAAGGGAGGAAAATTCCTGTTCTAACTTCCAGCCTGTTCTGCCACCAGGCATTGCACATCCAGAAACTCAGCCTTCGCCCTAAACTCATTTGTGAGGGAAGAAAACTAAGAAAAGAAAGACTTTTATGAGATTTGCCAAAGGATGTTAATTTCTAAAGATGAACTGAAACAAAATTATCAATATTTTGGGAAAGAAATACTTTGGAGCACACACAACCACAGGCTGTTTCCTTGTGTGGCCCAGGCCTACGAGGAACACAATCTGGCAGGATTCAATTTTCAGCTTGTGTCAAGAGAGCACTGAGGAAGCCCTCCAGGAGACAGGAATGAGATAGCACTTCAGTTGTGCTTCTCTGTGTACCAAAAAACTGCTGCAAGCCACAGAGAACTGGCTAGTTAGCCAACACATTCTTGTTGTGAACTCTGTCTTTCAGTGGAAATTTGGAACACTGACTAAAGGATTCCCATGCCTCAGAAAAAACATTTTTCCACAGAAAAAGAAATATTATTTTATTAATCTATTAACTGAACTCCCAAACCAAAGTAGTTCAATGTGAGCATACTGCTGCAGGGCCTCATGAGAGGCACCAGCAATTAGATGACCAAGAGGACATTTTATCACCAAAATGTGCCTCATTCTCCCCCCAAGAAAGGAACTGTGCAGGGCATCCTTCATCCCAACAGGCCAACCTAATCACAGGGAAAAGTAAACAATAAAAAGGGAAAACCAAATACCAAAGGAACAACAAAATCACAGGCACGAAAACAGCACTTCCAAAGCAATCTCTTCTCCACATCAATTTTTGTCCTAAAAAACAACAACAAAACTACCCTAAAAGTGACCCAAACAAGCTGATTAAACTGAGCTACAAACATGAACCAAGTTCCCATTAATTCCACATCCTCTGGCTGCTCCCCTCCTCCCAAACTCGCCTCCCGCCGTGCCACGAGCCAGACGTGTCCCAGCTAGTCCAATTCAACATCCTCCAACGCCCTTCATCTCCTGGAACCTGCTGGTCTGCCCCCTCAGCTCCACACGTGTGAGGAGAGCAGGATCCTCACCATCCACATCTCCTCCATCAGGGAGCTCTGAGCAACCCTGAGCACACAGCTACGTACACTCTGCTTGTGGATAGAAAGAAAAAGCCTAAAGGAGGAAGTGTTTTTCCAAGCATCGGTGCTCTAATAAGGAAAGTTTGATTCATATATAAGAAAATATAATCAAATTCCTGTAATAAAATTAACACAACCAGCAGCCAACTGTTCTAAAACTGGTATCAGAGCACGGCATACCTCCATGGGTAATATATAAAGATGCAGAGTGGATGGGCTGTGGGATGGATTTGATTGCTAGATGCCAACATTACGCAGATAAGAATTCAATCAATGAAAGCTATAATTTTCCTTACTTTTGACTAATTATCTTGTTAACTGTGTATGTGCTACATTAGCAGCCCAGGTCTCAAAAACAACAGCAGGGATTTTCCCCCATTGCACAAAACAAGTGTTGTAAGAGGAGCCTGAAATCTTTGCTACCCTGAAAGCAACTCGAGCTGGCTCCACATGGTCCCCACCCATCACTGTGCACAAGATGCTGCCCCTGCAGCCATCCAAAATGCTCTGGGGTTTTCTGCTTCTCCTGCAGCTGCAGGGAGCCAGCCCTGAGTTTTGCTGGTCAGTTCTGTAAACGTCTTGGATTTCTTTCAGCATGAGCTGAACACAAACCCAGTGATTCAACTTGGCCAGCTGCTACCGCCAGGACACGCTTTGAAACCAGACGTGCGCACGTGTTTTCGTCTGCATGTGGCTGGGAAGTCCAGAGGGATTCGGGAAGGGATTTTTCCTCTCTGCACCCAGACTTCTTTGTCTGTAGCACAAGTGACATTAAGAAATGCATGACGACAGTAAATGACAATTTGTTTTCCTCCTTGCTAGGCATCTAGCAGTTGCAGGGTTGACTGCAAGCTCATTCTAAACCGTAGTACTAGACGTGGAATTCCACCCGGATTTGCTGCCATGCTCCTCCAGCAGCTCCCCAGTTGTCTTTATCTTTTCCTCCCTTTTTTTCTTGCTATTTTGACAACTGAATTCTTTCTTCACAATTTTCATGTTCTCTTATTATTTACTCCATACACAACCATGCTATTAAATCCACTATCCAGCTATTGTATCAATGTCAGCAAATAATTTCTAACATTGCTCAAGGGACAATGTTTTTTGCTCACCAAAACAACTCTGAACATGCAACAAGGCCAAAACATTTGGGTTTAGGAGCATAAAGATAAACAGCAGTAATTCATAATTAAGCACTTTATATAAGAATGACATTATTCCTCCCCAAAGAGCCTGGGTGTCTACAGCTCAGAATTGGAAGTCCGTCTTTCAAATATCTGAAGCAAAATGTGCACGTAATAAATATTGTATTTCATTAACGCTGTCAATAGAAAACAATTGACTTATCCAAGTCCTAAAGCTGCACAGCCTGAAACGAGTTCTGCTACTTTCAGAGCTAAACAACAGTTAAAAGTGCCTTGAGGTGAGACTTGAGATTTAAACCCAGTTTCAGGACCTATTGTTTGAGAATAATTACCCTTCTCTGCTCCTCTGTGATATAGGGATGCCTGTAACTTCCTTTTAGCTCTTCAAAAAGAGGTCATAAACCTCGTAGCTTGGTAAAATTATCATATTTCTGATGTGCTGAGCACTTGTAACTTCAGCTCTACCACTTAAACTCTGCTCTGCCAGCTTGGCAAGACCACACCCACCTTTGTGGTCTGCTGGAGTTTGGGGTGGCCTGAAGGAGCAATGCCATACCTGTTTGTTGGAGTGGACACTGTTTTTATTCCTGTTGTTGTCCAGCAGCCCCCCACACTTGCCCAACGCTGCCAAATCCTTCATAATAGAGTTCAGAGCTTCTTCTTCATCTGCAAGAAAAGAAGAGACAACTGAAGTGTGGAAAGCAACTTTGCCCTCGGATGCACAGAGTGAAAATACAGCACTGCAAATACAAACTTTCATCACAAGTGGATCAAAAGACACAATGTCAAGCCTTCCTATTAAGAGAGGTATTCCAAGACTACACCACACTCTCTCCCAGCCCAGTCTGTCTTGAAAACACAGATTCCTTCATCACAGGTGAGACAGATAATGAGATCTCATTGTCCCCACCCGAAAGGGCCTGCAAGAAAGCTGCAGAAGGATTCCCAATAAGGACATGCAGTGACAGGACACAAGAAAATGCCATTAAAATGCAAAAGGGCAGGTTTAGATTAGATATTAGAAAGAAGTTTTCTTCTGTGAGGGTGCTGAGGCCTTGGCACAGTTGCCCAGAGAAGTTGTGGCTGCCCCATTATTCCTGGACATGTACAAGCGCAGGTTGGATGGGGCTTGGAGCAACCTGGGCTGGTGAAAGGTGTCCTTGCCTTTCCTCCCTCTTCACTAAAGGTGCTCAAGAGCCACAACTGACCATCAAAACCACAAACAGTGAGAAACCAGGGGAGAGGGCAGGGAATCCACAAGAAAGCAGTGCTGGATAGAAGACACTGACAGCCCTCAGAGGATGTCTGATTTCTGCAGTAACAGGAGAACTTTGAGGGACCATTGGATCTGAAACCAATCTCCTCTTCTTCAACACTTCAGCATCTGTGGTTATGGGCTCTTAAAGCAGCTATGAAGTGTTAAAGGAAAAGTACCAACCACAAGAAGCAAGAACCCTGTCAAGACCTAGGGCAGGGCACACTGTTAGGAGGGTGTGAAAAACCACTGCACACTCCATGCTCGTGACACAGTCAAGGCAAACGATAGGCACGTGCAAAAAATACAAAAAATACAAATACAGCTACAAATCTTGTCTAAAAATGAGTGTCTCCAGGGACAGAACCACCCCTACACCAGGCCAGCCTGCAGATTTAACTCAAAGTCCACAAATATGTGAAAAATGACAACAAACATATGAAATCAGACAGGACTGGACCCAAATACCAAGGATCTTTCCCCAGGGAGGTGTATGTCCTGGATCCTTGTGCTCAGATATAACACCATCTCCTCTTGTTCTGCTCCTCCTGCTGGGTTCTGTGAGCAATGAAACTATAAAAAAACCCAGATATGTGAGAAAAAGACTTCTTGTGCATGCTCTGCTCCCAGAGTATACTGAAGAAATAAGGGGAAAAACTGGGGCAAAATGTTTAAAATCCAGTCTCACATTTCAGAGCTCAGAAATGAGCTCCAATGCCTACATCAAACTCTTAGGAAAAAGCCTACATTTTTTTTTAGGCAATTTGTGTATACATATTTAATATATAAACTGTACATTAATACAAAAATATAACTGATAAAATAATAAAATTCATACATAAGTATGTTAAAATGTAATCCCTTTTGCCTCCCACATTTCCCTATTTACTAAAAGCACAGATATTTTTTTCCAGAGGGGTAGCAGGGAGCACAACCTTAAGTGCTACAGGAAAAACTGAAGAAAAATATAATTTTCAGTTCAAGTTCAGGATAAAAAAAAAACAAAACAAAACAAAAACAAAAAAAAAAACCCACAAAACCCCAAACAAGAAGAAAGAAACACATCAAGAATGTCCCCAAAGTCTAGGTTTGGGGTGTTTTTCTTTTGTTGTTGTTGGTTTGGTTTTTTTTTAAAGGACCTCTGGGACAAGCATAGTTTTCCACACAGATTTTGTAGTAGGAAAATATCCAACACAAAAAAAAAAAAAAAAAAGGAAAAAAGGCTTTTTTTTTATTTTTATGGAGGGGTAAGGGAACAGGGGGAGGGATGAGCTAAAACAAACCCACAAAAACAAAACCCCCTTACACCACCCTCTAGGAATTTTCCACCAAAGCTTTAATCTCTACAGTGCCCCTCACCCCCTTTTTTTTTCTTTTCCAGCAAGTGACAACAAAAGTTTCCTGAACAGCCTGATACAAAACACAATCTGTAATGTCATGGCCAACAGGGCCAGCAGGCAGAGTCCAACCACCCAATTCCCCATCCCTCTCCCACCTCCAAACCTCCCTGGCAACACCTTCCAGGAGAGGAATCTCTGGTTAACCCACCAGAGCCCTGGTTTATATCACATTGTCTTCCTCCTCTAGCTACACATCAATCTTGCCAAAACTTTTTTGTAACAGACTTCCCAGCCCACCAAACAAATGTTTAAAAATTCCTGGTGCTGCAAACTCAGTTCATGATAAGTCACATTTCTTAGGAGGTCAGGCTAAAAACCTTTGCTAGAAGTGACTTTTTGCATCTCTCCAAACATAGCAATGCAAGGAGAATCCACTGACTTTCAGTAGCTGCTTAAATTCAGCTGGTTTCCAGAAATACCCAAACATCAACTGAATAGGCCTTAGAATAAGTGGCATAAAACTGAGCTCCAGCTGTCCTGAATCAGGTACTGAAGGAAAAAAAAAAGAAAAGAGAAGCTATTTCTTGTATTTGACTGTCAAATCAGCATTTTCCTTCCTTTATCTACTAAGAAACCAATGCAAAAGAGCATTCTGAAAAGCATCTGACGATTTTCAATTACAAAATATGAGTGTTGATTGTCAAAAAACTAAAATCCACATCCATGACATCACTGTTGCAAAGCAAGATAAGAAAACTTCTTCCTGTCCAATGGAAGGTTGGATATCAAAGGAAATGTTGCTTTCTGCTGCTGGAAGGTGAAAGACAACTTAAGCACAAGCACAAATACAACATTTCCTTCACCTAATGTATTTCTACGTGCTGAAGTGTTTTCCAGCTGCTTTTAACAGTGTGTTTTCACTCCAAGAGAGCTGTGATTTCAGGGAGGCAATGACCAAAGCCTCAACTGTTCAAAACAAAACCCCCCACACCAGGCTGTGAAGCAACTTCTGAGCAGCAGCATGATTTGCATCATCGCTTGCAAAACCGACACTTCCCAGTCCTCTCTGGGACAGCTCTGCACAGGCACTGATGCTTTCCAGACTGAACCTCTTGCCCATCCTAATTCCTGCTCTTGGGGTCCCCCAGCTGACTCCCAAGAAGGGTGGAGGACTTTGTTCCATGGAAATACGCAGCCAGCTCAGCCAGTGCAGTCAAAATTCAAACAAGCACTGAAGCTAACGGGATAATTAAATCCAAATGCCACTCCCAAGCCTTTCCAGCAAAAGGGGTGTCACAGGCTGCTCCTCCTCTGTTTGGCTGGGTTTGAGTGGGGAGAGGGGAAGGATGGATGGTTCTCCCAGGGACAAAATGCCAATTGTCGGGAATCCCGTGCCCAAGGGACAGGAAAAATCCTGTTCTGATCCCAAATATTCTTCAGCCTTGTGAGAAGGCAGCATTGAGGCTGCACAGCAAATACCTCCCCAGGCTCTGCCATGGCTCCAGAACAAAACATCTGTGAGTTGCACAACACTGATGAAGTATCCTTGGAGCTCTATGGACTTGGGAGACTCCTAGAAATCTTTGTGCAATGTGAGCAGGTTCCTGCTCCTGAACAACCTCCTGGCCCAGCTCCACTCTGGCATCGTTTTGCACAAATTCACTTAAGGTACTGTGGGTTGACAGGATGAATTGTACAACAAATCCCACTTGATCTCCAACACAACATGAAAACAGGATTATTTCTACCGTGGAAAAGCAGGACAGAGAAAAGCTGATTATAGAGACAGCAAAAATGAAACATAAAAATAAACTGTGTTTAGTACTGTCCCAATGTCCCCAACGTCTTTTTCCATCCTCAGCTTTCAGCTGTTTCCCTTAATAGGAAACTCATTTCTTTCTTCTCTACTTTCCACCAACACACTTAATTTTGTGCTTTTTAAATCAGCTTCCTGTGACAAAGCTTGTTTGATCACACTGCCAGCCCATCCAACCAAGGATCACTTCCAACCAAAAATAATAGATGTTTCAAAAGATTAATTTCCCAGGGGTTTGGGGTTGGGGGGAAATATCCACAGCCACACAGAAGAGAGGAACATACAGGAGCAGAAAGCCAAGAGCACTCCCAGGAAGCAATGGCCAGTGGAGCTCCAGCAGACAGGGTTTACATTTTTATTAAAATACACTCATCCATTTTGGCAGGATCCTATATCAAAACCAGAATGCCTCCTTCTCTCATCAGGTTTTCAGTTCTGCAAGATGTTAAGACTTGCAAGCCCCAGGCACTCCCAGTGAATCTGGTACTGACAGAACCAGAGGACACAGCCCTAAGCTGCACCAAGGGAAATTTAGGTTGGGTATCAGGAAAAAGTTTTTCACAGAAAGGTGATAAACTTCTGGAATGGCTGCCTGGGGAGGTGCTGGAGTCCCCACCCCTGGGTGTGTTTTACAAAGCCTGGATGTGGCACTGGGTGCCAGGGTTGAGTTAAGGTGTTGGGGCTGGGTTGGACTCAGTGATCTTGAAGGACTCTTCTAAATTGGTCATTCTGGGAATTCTGTGAATCCTGTGAATCCGAGGCATTTGGCTACTTGGCAAAATCAACCAGGGAATGACACCAAAAAGCCAGCAGATGACACATCTCTCTGCCCTTCAGAGACATTTTCAGTGCTGCTACGTGGCCTTGGTTCCAGCCTGCGTGGGGGAGAGAGGAACCTGGACTTTCAGTCTTAGTACAGCAAGTTCACTGCTCCAAGAGATGGAAAACAATTTTTCAAAAGGGAGAAACAGAAAGCCTGAAGGTCAACACAGACCACCCGAAACAATTCAAGAGTCAGGAGAGAAAGCAAATGAAGAAGGGACAAAGGAATAATTTAGCTGTGTTCAGATGGTCTAGACACTACTGTTATTGTTGGCTTCACTAATAGGTCATTGCTAAGAGGCAGTTTATGGCAGTTCCATGAAGCTGCTTCCTTCAACACTGAAAAAAAAAAAAAAAAAAAAAAAAAAAAAAAAAAAAAAAAAAAAAAAAAAAAAAGAGATGTCTTTTGTGCAGGTTAGGGTTAGAAGAGCCA